AGAGGGTTGCTACAAGTTCTGGACAGCCAGAGCTACGTAGTAAAACACTGGCTTTGGTTGGGGTGGGTGGGTACACCCCTCAACACACACGATATGTAGCTCATGCATTTCAAGTGAACATTTAAAACTCTTTCTCGCAATGTGTTTATTTGTGTGTGGGATGGGGTGCACACACTGGTGGAGGTCAAGAACAACTTCAGGGAGTTGGTTCTCAGAGTCTACCATGTGTCCCTGGACACCCGTGGTCAGGCTTGGTGTAAGCACCTTTACCTGCTGAGCCGGTTACTGGCCCAGTGTGGTAACATCTTATAGCCCAGTCTGGCTTTGAACTCTTTCAGTGTTGGGGTCACAGGTATGAACCACCACATACACTAGTACTTTCTAAAACCCAGAAATCTGCCTCAAATAGAACACTAACTGTATCAGTCTTTGCTGTTAAGTGGGGAAGAAGAAAACTTCGTCCAAATCCATGCGATTCTCCCTGCACTTCTAAAGCTCTTTTCCTGAGAAGGCGGGTTATCCCAGACAGCCCGTTTTGTGCCCAGAAACAATGAGCCATTCTCGAAACACTTAGTTAGACCAGCTATGAAGAGGTACAGCTGGGTCTGTACTCACGGTTCAGCAAGCATCATGGGCAACGCATTCTCCTGGATCTTGGATGGTCGATTGAAGCCCATGGCATAGACTCCCTGGAGAAGCTGGGGTTTCCTAGGAGGAAAGACAGAGATGAGATGGGTTTTAGATAAGATTTCGGTATGTAGCCCTGGCAGGTCTGGACTTGCTATTGTAGATCATAGTGACCTCGAACTCACAGAGATCCACTTGTCTCAGCTTCCTCTGTGCTGGGATTAAAAGTATATGCCATCCATACGAATGGATTTTGAGAGTCTATTCCACATGGAGGGATGCTCTCAGCCTGGACACATGTGGGAGGGCCTAGACCCTGCCTCAGATATGACAAACTTTGGATATCCCCCATGAAGAACCTCACCCTCCCTGGGGAGTGGAGTAGGGATTGGGTGGGGGAACTGGTGGGGCGCGGGGGGAGGAAGAGAGGGAGAGGGAGCTTGAATTGATATGTGAAGCAAGCTTGTTTCTAATTTAAATAAATAAATAAATATGCCATCATACCTAGCTTTGTTTTTAAGACTCCCCTCTCTTTTTTTTTTTTGGTTTTTCGAGACAGGGTTTCTCTGTGGCTTTGGAGGCTATCCTGGAACTCGCTTGGTAGTCCAGGCTGGTCTCGAACTTACAGAGATCCGCCTGCCTCTGCCTCCCGAGTGCTGGGATTAAAGGCGTGCGCCACCAACGCCCGGCTCAAGACTCCCCCTCTCTTTATGGAGTCCAGGCTAACCTGAAACTGTCCATGTAGCCCATGGTAGCCTTGAACTCATGATTCTCCTGCCTTTGCCTTTCAAGTGCTGAGACTACAGGCACATGCCACCACACCCATTTCTTCCATTTTATGTGAGGATATGCATGGACTTTCTGTGAGGAGAAAGTGTGGAGGAGAGGGATTTCAGTCAGGACATGAGGGGTTCACAAGTGGAAAGAAGACACGTAAGAGCCAGTGTCGGATGACCACTGGGGCTACAGTATGCGTCTAGAGGCTCTGCTGCCTCCACTGCTTCCTCCGCTTCCGTCCGTCTACCGCGTAAGCTTCAGCTGCCTGTAACAGGGTGGACGTGGGCTTCCAAAGCAGGAATTGCCTTGCTCATACCTAAACATATTGTTGAACTAGGGTCTTAGTTTTTGTTTTCTCTGTCCCTATCAAGGCAGTCCAATTACCTGATACTGATTATACTGATTTAAATCCCAAGGAGTCGGTGACATCTCTGGCAGAGACGTTTCCTCTGGAAGCTTCCTAGGCCATTTTGTCCAGCCCCACTCTTATGGCCATCCTCCCCCCTGAAGATCCTCATTCCCTCAGCCATCCATCCTACAAAGTCACTGCTTCCTAGGGCTACCTGCCCCGTGAATGGCTCCCTTCAGATCATAGAAGCTGGAAACAGGACTCTACAAAACTAAATTATTTTCCTTAGGTGTTGGGCATGGATATGGGCAAAGGGAGACCTAGAAGATACAATAGGTTGGTTTCTTATTTTCGACCTGTTTAGCCAAAGTTTGCTTTAAGGTGTAATTGTCATGACCCAGTGAACAGTTGAAGAAGCTCATTTAAGTCAGTGTTTGGGGTCTCCCTGAAGTCAATTCAGGGGCCTTGGATGAAGCATGTGAGCGAAGCTTTGGGTGTTTTGTTGTTGTTTAAGGCATGGGCTCATGTATCCCAGGCTGGACTCAACCTTGCTATCTAGTCAACAATGACCATGAACTTCTAGTCCTTCTGGTCTACCTCATGAGTGCTGGGACTATAGGTGTGTACCACCATGCCTCGTGCAGTCCTGCACATTGAACCCAGAGTTTCATGCACTCTAGTCAGAACCCTACCACCTGAGCCATATCTCCAGCCTGGTGGTGTTTCCCTTTCAGTTTTTTTGAGATGTTCTTATTTTGCCCAGGCTGTCTTCAAACTTGCTATGCAGGGGAGGCTGGTTGTCTTAGTCACTGCTCTGTTGCTGTAAACAGATATGACCAAGGCGACTCTTACACAAGAAAGGATTTAATTGGGGGCTCACTTAGTGTTTCAGAGGTTTAGCCATCCATTATCATCTACAGCAGGGAGCCTGACTGGGAGCATGACAGCATGCTCTGGAGTAGAAGCTAAGTGCTACATCCTGATCCACAGGCCAAGTGAGAGACACTGGGCTTGACATGGGCTTTTGAAACCTCAAAGCCTGCCCCCATTGACAGGCTTCCTCCAATAAGATCACACCTCCTAATCCTTCAAGTCCTTTCAAATAGTACCATTCCCTAGTGACTAAGCATCTGAATATAAGAGCCTATGTCAGCCATTATTTAAGGTACCACAATGGTATTAAACTCAAAAAATTCTCCTGCATTTATGTCCCAAGAGCTGGGGTTACAGGAATGTACCTTCGTGCCTGGCTTGAAGCTTCAAAAATATTTATTTATTTGTGTGTGTGTGTGTGTGTGTGTGTGTGTGTGTGTGTACATCAGAGGACAACTTTAGGCAGTCGGCTCTTTCCCTTCTACTATGTGGGTCCCAGGGATTGAATTCAGGTCAGCAGGCATGGAAGAAAGTGCTTTTACCTTCTGAGCTATCTCAGCACCTCTGCCCTTCCCTTTCTCCCATGAGCCTTTGCAGCTGCAGTGGCTTACAGGCTTCTTTCAGCACTCTGGCTCTTCTCAGGCTTTGGAGTCAGATCAGGTCTCAGAGCTCACTGCCATTCATAGGGTCACAGCCATCAGCAAGTACTTTCACATCTGTAAGCATCATTTTCCCAATCTAGAATAACATCTTCCCTGTTGTATTGTGCTAATATCCAGTCCTTGGTGGCTCTGGGGTTTAGTTTCACTGAAGCAATTTGAGCCATTACAAAATGAGGGACCTGGGGACTTTTTTTTAAAGACTTATTTATTTTTATTTTCTGAGTATGGGTGTTTTGTCCACATGTATGTCTGTGCATCTAGTGCATACCTGGTGCCCAAGGAGGCCAGAAGAGGGCAATGGATCCTCTAGAAATGGAGTTACAGATGATTGTGAGCTGCTGTCCTGTGACTGGTGGGAGCTGGACCGGGTTTCTGGAAAAGCAGACGGTACTATTGACCACTGAGCCGTCTCTCTAGACCACCCTTCTTAACTTGTTCCTCGTGTGTGCAATGGGGGTGGAAGATCAGAAGAAGACAACTTTGTAGAGAGTTCCAGGGATTGAATGAAGGCTGTCAGCTCGTGTGAGCTCTTTGCCGCTGAACCATCTTGCTCCTTCCTCAGATTCACTACTAAACAGCCCTCAGCCAGCTCCTTATCTTCCTGCTCCTTCCTTCTGAGGCTGCGGGCTGCTGTTCCAGCTGGCATCTTTTTTTAAACATAGATCCTCAGACAGCCTGCAGCTGTCAGCAGCAGCCAGAGAACCCTAGAATGTCTGACTGGAGCTTTCAACAAGGAAGAGTGAATGTGAGACCCAGGATCATGTCAGAACTTACTCTAGCTGGCAATTTGAAGAGAAGGTTTAAGGGATTCCCTTAGCATGGATTCAAGCTCCTTTTCCTCACGCCAGTACTCAAACAGCTCAGCAAATGGCCTCTTCTCCCTGTTGTCTGCCAGTACAGTGTGGAGCCTTGGGCTGTTGGACTCTTTTGTCCATACTACACAGATGAAGAAAATTGCCCATGGGCTTAGTTGGTGGTGGTTCCGAACCAGAAACCCGACTCCTGACGTGCTTTCCCTGAGCAGCAGAGCAGGAAGGATTGGTCATGGTTCACTGGACCAATCAGAAATGCTGCCTGTACAATTCACACCTGAAAGATCACGGACAAGTTCCTGCCAGCTTCCCATAGGCACTAGAAGTTCTCTGAGGGCATTATGTGGGGAGGCCATTATTCTCAGACCTTGCCTTCTTCTCTGGGCCGATTTCTCCTCAGTTTTGCCTGAGAGTAACTACACAAAGCTGGACAAGGCGTGTCAGCCCTTGCCATCAGACTCTGGGAAATTAGCTTACTCCTTGTTTATTTTCAGGCTAATTAGTGAAGATGCTGCACTAACTCAATCCTGCCGGACTGGGGGTTAGGCAAAGTAATGCTATCTCTGGACAGTTCCAGGAGAGAACCCTTTCTTTTTTCTACCCTTTTGTTAAGGAGTATGTATCTCCTTTACTGCTGGCCTTGTCTCCTCTGAGACCATGGGTGGGGCCTCTGTGTGTGTGTGTGTGTGTGTGTGTGTGTGTGTGTGTGTGTGTGTGTATGAATGAGAGAGAGACAGGCAGAGACAGAGACAGACAGAGAGGGTGAGTCTGTGTGTGCGGGGGTGGGGGGGTGGGGGGTGAGTACATGTGTATGTGTGAGAGACAGAGAGAGACTCTGTGTGTGTGTATGTGTGTGTTCCTGCTGTCTATATGCAATTCTTTTTCCTCTCTGAATTTCAGGGTCATGCTGTGGCAACCTGGCACCTAGCAGGTGAGGAAGAGCCTGACGGGATTACGGCTAGCAGGAGCCAAGGGCAGGACCACCTCACCCCAGAGGCAGGGGTGGGCAGGACAGCTGCCCTGCCGAGGCCGGCAGTCCCAGGGAAGTTGTCGGGAGCCTGGTGAGGAGCTCTTCAAGCTCTGCTGAACCACATGGCTTAGACACAGCACCTTCCTGAGCAGCAGCCGTTCCCAGCCCCAGAGGACCCCACAGGAGGAGTAGGTGCTTTGTGATCGGCTGTGCAGCTGCAGCTGGGGCTGCACTCACCAGGAGAGAGGACCAGCCCCGCTGATTGGAAGCATCAGAACAGAAGCTACAGAGAGGAAGGCCTTGGTTTTTGCAGCGGTTTCCTGATGCCCAGAAAGATTATTGGTTTTCTTTTTTGGCCTTGGGTGTGGCTCCTTTCCCCTGGCCAAATAGTCGGGCCAGGAGAGCCTGTGAGTGTGAAGAGGACTCTTGCATGGAATGCAGGCCCCCTGAAGCCAGTGTGCTCTCTGCCGTGATCAGGGTTCCAGGACTTCCCCACTGCAGGGGAGGAGGGGCTGCCTCAGTGTCTGCTCATGAGCCACAAGGACCCCGACTGTTCCAGACTGGACCTTTTCAAGCCACCAAAGAGGGGGATCCCTGGAGCTGGCAGCCAGCAGTCACAAGGGACTAGAGGGCTGGGATGGACTGACCTCTGCCTTGACAGGGTGGCAGAAGAAGCAGAGCCTTTGTGGCCCAGCTAGTGACTGAGAGATCTGATGAAGCCTTAAGCAGAGGCTCCCGTGGCTCAGGGACGGGGGGAGGGAGGGGGGCTACTCCTGTAGACGTGCTTTCTCCTTGTTTGAGGGAGGGTGTGGCAAGAGTCCCCTGCCACACCTCGTGCCCCTATGCCCTTTACACGTGCTGCCAAAACAAGCAGGCTGCACCGTGGCTGGCCCCACAGTGGGCTGGGAAAGGATTGGCCACGGTGACAGCCGCCCCCGTGGCCAGCACGATGAAGTGCTCCCTGCGGGTGTGGTTCCTCTCTGTGGCCTTCCTGCTGGTGTTCATCATGTCCCTGCTCTTTACCTACTCACACCACAGCATGGCCACCTTGCCCTACCTGGACTCGGGGGCCCTAGGTGGAACACACCGGGTGAAGCTGGTGCCAGGGTATACGGGACTACAGCGCCTTGGCAAGGAGGGGCTTCCGGGGAAAAGTTGTGCCTGCAGCCGCTGCATGGGTGATGCTGGTACCTCTGACTGGTTTGACAGCCACTTTGACAGCAACATCTCACCTGTCTGGACCAGAGATAACATGAATCTCCCCCCAGATGTCCAGAGGTGGTGGATGGTAAGAACTGTGGCCCCTTCTGCTGCCTTCTTTCCAGAATCGGTTCGTTTTGGAGCCGCTCTGACAGCCCCCTTTTGGGCTTCGGCTGTCTGTGTCATGACTCCCAGCACCCTAACAGAGTGGGAAGCCCATCTGGTCTGAGCCGTATACCTGGGTCACAGCTTGCTGACAGGCAGAGTGAGCTTTGACCTGGAAGGAGAGAGAACTACTATTTGTGGTGCTTGTAGGAGCCTAGCCTGACGCCTAAAAATGCTGTTGGCCTACGGCAACAGCAGTCCGAGTGAGAAAGTGAGTGAGGACCTGAAGGCCATGCCATAGATAGAGGCTTTCTGCTAGCCAGCACCCCACAGTTGCAGCAGCTGCTACCCTGCCAGCAAGAGACTCGTGCTGCTCCCTCCTCCAACTTCTTTTTTGAAAATTATTGTTATTTACGGTGCGTGCATGCCTGCGTGTGTGTGTGTGCATACACATGTGATGTAGTGGTTGGTGTATGGGTGGCAGAGTGCACATCTGGAGGTCAGAGGACAACTTTGTGGAGTTGGTGCTTTCTTCTACCTTTCCATGGGTCCCAGGGATTGAACTCAGATTGCCGGGCTGTGCAGTGAGCTCCATTCCTCACTCACTCATCTTGCCTGCCTTCCTCCAGCCTCTCATTAGACTCCAGAAGCCTGGTTTCGTGTGCACAGTGTATATGCCTGCTTTTGACAATTAAAAAAAATTGGTATGTGAATAGATGTTCTCTGTGCATGTATTTCTATGTACCACTTGTGTACCTGGTGCCCTCAGAGGCCAGAAGAGGGCTTTGGATTCTCTGAAACTGGAGCTACAGATATTTGTGAGCCACCATGTGGGTGCTGGAAATTGAACCTGGGTCCTTTGGAAGAGCAGCCAGTGCTCTTAACTACAGAGCCATCTCTGTAGCCCTTTAGATGTGCTGTGCATGTTTTATGTGTTTGTGAGGACATGTAGGGTTATGTTTGTGGAAGCCAGAGGTTGTGACTACCTTATTTTTGTTGTTGTTGTTGTTCATTTTTGAGGCAGGTCTCCCTGTGTAGCTCTGGCTGTTCTGGAATTCACTATGTAGACCAGACTGGCCTTGAACTTACAGAGCTCTGATTGCCTCTGTCTCCCAAGTGCTGGGATTAAAGCACACGAGCCCATCTGGCTTTTACATAGGTGCTGGGAATCTGACCTCAGGCTTTCATTGCTTGCACAACAGGCACTTTTTCCTAAGCTATCTCCCTAGCCTAGAAGTATGAATTTTGTTTTGTTTTTATTTTTTGAGGCAGAGTTTCTCTGTGTAACTCTGGCTGTCTTGGAACTCGGAACTGTAGACCAGGCTGGCCTCAAACTCACAGAAATCCACCTGCCTCTGCCTCCCTAGTGCGGGGATTAAAAGTATGCATCACCACAGCCCAGCCAGAAATATGGATTTTAAGACTGAATATTCTATTGCTAAATGTTGGCTCAGAGTAATTATAAACATTCAAGAGTCACTTTTGGTTCTTACAGTTGCTGGGAGAAGATTGCTTGGGGCTGGGAGAGAGCACTGTAAACCTCAGGTACTAAGGGAGATGGAAGCAGAGGAGCCTCAGAAGGGTCTATAACATTCCTATTTTCCTAGGTTCCTCAGACCTTTTCATATCCTCCACCCTGCCCCCATCATCTCCAGAGCCTCTCTTCCCAGGCTCTACAGGGCCATCTGGTTGCCTCCTGGGCCAAGAATGGGGCCTGTAGGCTGCCTGCTTTCCCTGGCATGGACAGTGAGTTCCTGGTCCCTGTTCCTCCAGCCAGCATGGAAGCAAGATGACTCTCCTCCTTTTTCAGGGACATGAGGATATTTGGCCATTATCCTGGACAGCTGCCCAGAAACCTGTTTATTGGCCCAAACTGTTAGCTTCCTCCAAGACTACCATCAGCCCTTTTGTTGTTATAGCACTCAGGAGGCAGAGCCAGGCGGATCTCTGTGAGTTGGAGACCAGCCTGGTCTACAAGAGCTAGTTCCAGGACAGCCTCCCAAGCCACAGAGAAACCCTGTCTCAGAAAAACCAAAAAAAAAAAAAAAAAAAAAAAAAGGGTCCAGTGTCTTGTAGTCCACCATCGTAGTCTCGGGGGTAACCTTGTAGAGCCAGACCAGGACTCTGAGCAGGGGTGAATTTCCAGAGGATGAGACAGGTCTCCAATCACAGGGATGGAACTCAGAGGCTGTTTAGACACTCTGTTCCTCAACCCACACTTCTTCCTGTTGCCCACTGTTGTCCTCTCTGGCCATAAAGCTGGGAATTCTTGTCTCAGAGCCAGGCTTCTGCTCCAGAAAAGCCTTTGGCCCCCTGAGCAGCTCCTGTTTGCCCACAAACCCCCTGGACTATGCCTCAGTCTACAGCAATGTAGACCAGGCTCTCAGAGATCCCCCTGCCTCTGCCTCCTGAGTACTGGGGCTAAAGGTGTGCACCACTGCCTGGCTGGTTGACTGGATCTTTAAAAACTTATTTCCCTCCCTCCCTCTGTCTGTCCGTCCCCTCCCTCTCTCACTCTGTGTGTGTGTGTGTGTGTGTGTGTGTGTGTGTGTGTGTGTGTGTGTGTGTGTGTATGTATGTGTGAGTCCATTTTCTCCAACTGTGTGGGTCCTATGTCTTGAGTATTGGTCATCAGGCATGACAGCAAGTGCCTTCACCTCCTGAGACATCTCAGTGGCCCATGGATTTCCTTTTTTATTTGGGGTAGGTATATGATCTTTTGTTTGCTGTATGCCCCATCTCCTTTGCTCCTATGTATCATCTGCCTGGCCCCATTGAGCATTGGACTGTGGCAGGGTGTGGTGGTATATATCTGTAATCCCAGCACTCAGGAGGTTGAGGCAAGAGGATCACTGTGTGGTCAGAGTCAGCCCGTGTTACATAGCAAGCTCAAAACCAGCCTGGACTATGTACTAAAACCCTGTCTCTAACAAAACACAATGCTTAGGAGGTAGAGACAGAAGGATCAGGAGTGTGAAGCACACCTCAGCTACTTGGAGTCTTTGTTGATCATTAGCAGTTTGGGTTCCAGCCCTTGCTAAGGGGCCAAGGGAGCCAGTTTATTTCAACCACCTGGCTTTGGAGAAACTTACCTACTTTTTTTTTTTTTTGAACCCCAGAGGGTTCAGAGTGGCTACAGACAAGTCCCACTGGTGCCCCCAGGACACAGATTGGAACAGATTCCCCCAAAGACATTACTCTGCTTTATGGCCCAGGCCTAGAAGCCCTCCAAAATGCCTCAAATAGCACTTTGACACTGCAACCCCCACCCCAAGTCTCTCGAGAGCATTGGAGGAGCAGCCTGTGACTGACAGGGTGCTGAGTATTGGTCTCAATAGTGGGAGTCAAGGCCTTGCTGCCATTGAGAGAGGTGTTGCTCAGTGCCTGGGGGGGGAAGGCCTGTGTGGCTCTGACTGCAGGGGAGGTTTGAAGGGGTGAATCTCTCTAGCCTCACAGCCATCTCCCTTGCCCAGATGCTGCAACCCCAGTTCAAGTCACACAACACCAATGAGGTGCTGGAGAAGCTGTTTCAGATCGTGCCTGGCGAGAACCCCTACCGCTTCCGGGATCCCCACCAGTGCCGGCGCTGTGCTGTGGTGGGAAACTCAGGCAACCTCCGGGGCTCTGGCTATGGACAAGATGTGGATGGCCATAACTTTATCATGAGGTGAGCTCTCAGGAAACCAGGCAGGGATGGGGAAGACAGCCCATGAAGCGTCCTTGGGGTACCAGAGGACAGCTTGCAAGAGTCCCTCCACCTCCTGGTCCCATGAATTAAACTCAGATTTTCAGCCTTGGTGGCAAGCTCTTTTACCCACTGAGTCATCTTGTCAGCTTTCTTTGGCCTTTTCTGATAGGGCACAAGTACAGGTGCCCAGTGTGCTAAGGGACACCAGCTCCCAGAGGCTTCAGTTTGTAGGCTTGGTCTCTCCCCTAGTTTTTCCCAGGCTGGGTGTATACGAAGTGTTCAAAATATAAATTTTGGGGGCTGTAGAGGTGGCTCAGTAAGACACTTGTTGTCCTTGCAGAGGACCAGAGTCTGGGTCCCAGCACCTCTGTGGCAGCTCCAAGTCATCTGTGACTCTATTTTCAGGGGATCCAATACTCCACGGGCATGACACTTAATTATTATGTATTCTTACATGCAGTTGAAACACTTAAAATAAAAATTAATATTTTTTAAAGCCCACAAAATATAAATTTGGGAGGATAGGCATGTATATCTCAGTTGCCTGGCACACACAGAAACTGTGGGGTTAGTCCTGAGCACTGCACACACCAGGCTCAGTGGCGTTCTACTTCTCTTTGGTGTTAGAAGAACCTTGTTAAAGTTACTGGGACTGGAGAGACGACTCAGCGGTTGAGAGTACATACTGCTCTCTCAAAGGACCCAGGTTCAGTTCCTGGTATCCATGTCACATGACTCACAACTGGCAGTGACTCAACACCAGAGCATCTGACCCCTCTGGCTTCCATGGGCACCTATACTCACATGCATACATGTGTACACACACATACACACACATATATACACATACATATGCATATATATGTATATATTACATTATATATGTAACACATCATATATATTATTTAAAATGATAATAAATATTTTTAAAAGAACAATATTACTGGCAGGAGGTATTCTTGTTACTGCCCCTTTTACTGTCTTTGCAGTGCACTAAATCAGCTTATCCAAACACTTGGATGGCAGAAACAGATGGATCTCTGAGTGTGAGACAGCCATGGCTACATAGTGAGACCCTGTCTCAGAAAAAACCCCAAACCTCATGCTGGGGATATTGTCCAGTTGGTAGAGCGCTTGTCTAGGATGTACAAAGGCTCTGGGCTTGAGGCTCAGCACTGTGTAAGCGAGGCATGGCGGCACACGCCTAGATAGAGGCAGGAAGATAAAGAAGTTCAAGCTCATCTTTGGCTACCTAGTAAGTTCAAAGCCAACCTGAGATATGTGGACACCTCTGACTGTGTTTCAAAAACAAGTAAGCAGGGTTAGGGAGACAGTTCAGGTTGTAAAGTACTTGTTATGCAAGCCCCAGAACCAGAGTTCAGGTACAAATGCACCCATATAAAAGCTGGGATTGTAGCATGCTCCTATACTCCAGTGCTGGTGCATTGGGACTGATGGACCCCGGGGGCTTGCTGGTCAGTCTAGCTAAAATAGCAAGCTCAAGTTTCAAGGAGAAACCCTGTCTAAAAAACTGAGGTGGGCATTGGGGAGTCAGCTCAGTAGATACAGGCGCTTGTTGGGCAGCCCTGACAACCTGATTTTGGATTCTCAGAGCCCGTATAAAACCAGATGCTATAGCTTAGGCTTCTTTAATCCCAGTGCTTCCCTAAGGGAGCTGAGAGGCAGAGACACTCTCCAGATGCCTGAGCCTCCACTGTCCCAGCTGGCACAGTGGCAAGGAGACCCTGTCTCAAGGAGGAAAGGTGAGAACTGACACCCAGACTCTGTTCTCTGACCTCTGCACGTGGATGATGACATGTGTGCAGGCACACACAAATAAATCGAGCAGACAGCCAGAGAGGAAGACTCCCTTTGTCGCTAATAGCCTCTACGTGCACAGGTGACTGCACACACACGTGAATGAATGAATAAATAAAATGCTGAAATGCCAGGTTTCTCCTAAGCATCTCCTAGGATGAGCATTGCAGAAAGACCAGATTTCCCAGGAGGTAGAAGGCCTTTGTCTTAGAAACTGTTACTGTCTCCATAGCAACACCAACATAGCACTATGTCTCTGAGGCTTTCCATAACGCCAGAGCCACTTGGGTTATCGTCACTCTCCACTTGCTGACACTTTACAGGGAGGGAAGCTGGGAGCTGGTAGAACTCTCTTCTGAGAGAAGGTGGCTGATATTTGGGAATGAGGCTTCTATCACCTTCCTTCTTCAAGGCCGCTCCAGATGCCTGAGCACCTGCTTCTCTGGGCAACTCTTTCATTAGGTTCCTGGGTGATGATTGGGAACCCCCCCCAGGGTGGGGGGGTCAAAGCCTGCAGATCCAAAATCTATGACTACTTCTGATGTGGGTGTCCTGGCTGCAGATACATTCACAGAGTCTCCTTCACATGAGGCAAGGTCAGATGTGGTATCTGGAGTGGGCCCTAGAACTGCTTTGTAGAAAGGGTGATCCCGATAGTAGTTGGCCGGCCGTCTGTGGTCTATATAAAGAGCCAGATGGCAGCAGAGGCTGCTGCTTACAGGCTTCTCTTGATTTGGAACCAGCAAGGGAAGCCTTCCACCCCAGAATCAAGGAGAGCATTACAGTGAAATATAGCTCTAACTGCTTCTCTGTCCCCTCACCTCCAGCTGTCACGTGTAAATTCTTTTTTGTTTGTTTGTTTGTGTGTTTTTGTTTTGAGACAGGGTTTCTCTGTACTGCTTTGGAGCCTGTCCTGGAACTTGCCCTCCTGTAAATTCTTTAATCTCATTGATGACCCCAACTGGAATTGAACTTATCTGCTGCCTCTAACCACTCTCTGGTGACAGAGGCATCTATAAGATGAGACAGCCAGACACTGTGTGCTCTAAGTAAAGTGTAATCCACCCTGCCCAGTGTTTCTTTGGCTGCTGAAGGCAGCTTGGGACAGAGAGGTTTCTGGAATGCATGACTCCACGTCCCAGAGATCCATGTCATCCTTTGGCCCTTTTCCAGGGCATGACTTTATCTAGAATGAATCAGCCTCCAAAAGAATGCCCCGCTTCTTCTCATTCCTGTAGGGGCTATGAAACATCATCTTGGACTTCATTTTGCAACTTCATTCCCAGTCCCTTGCTGTCTGGGGCCCGGAGTGGTTGGAAGACAAGTGAAGGAAACGCAGGGGTGAGAAGTAGGTGATGTCACTGCTAGGTCTAAGCCTTCTTGAGACCTCTGGCTACGGTGAAGAAAGCATGCAGTGGGCCTTTAGAAGCCAGCCTGAGGCAACCATAGTCTCCTATCACACAAAATAATAATGAGCTTCATTATGATATTTTCTCATGTATATAATTTATTTTGATCATAGTCACCTACCATTGCTTTCCATTGTTCCTCTGTCCGCCCAGTGCCTCCTCCCAAATAGTCCTTCTTTCACAGCCTTTTTCCTAAAATTGGATAGTCACAGCCTTTTGATCTTCAGAGCTTTGGTCTTTGAGTCTCTGGTAAGATGAAGTTTGCACCTTAGGTCCTCACAAGTGTAAATCTGGGTCCCAGCATCAGCCCAGCCCGGCATCACCAGCCAAATTCCTCTACATTCTTCCTGCCTTTTCCAGCCGTAGGCGACTGGGAGGCTTCCATACCTTCTCTGGCATTTCTGCTACTGGGAGAGGAGCAGGAGGAAAACAGTAGAGGTGCCTTGTAGCAAAGGAAGCCTACACCCAGCCAAGCCCATGGTGTCAGCCACTCTGACAGGGACATTTGTAGTGGTTTCATATAGCTGGCATGAAGGATAAGGAGGCACCTGGAGATTGTTCCTCCCTTCTGGGTCCCCGGGCCATCATGAAGGAGCAGAGCATGTGGTCACCCTACTGTGGTGGTCATGATGCTACAAGGTACTCCATCCTCAGGAGACAGAAATGCTTGCATAAAAGTTGGCAGAAAACAGCACCAGCAGGCTCATGCTTAGAGCTGTTTCAGCTGTGATGTAAGATATTTATCAAAATGGGAGCCTTTCAGGCGGATCTCTGTGAGTTCGAGACCAGCCTGGATTACCAAGTGAGTTCCAGGACAGCCTCCAAAGCCATAGAGAAACCCTGTCTCGAAAAACCAAAAAAAAAAAAAAAAATGGGAGCCTTTCTTGGACTTAGTGGTACACATCTATAATACCAGCACTCGAGGGTAGAAGCTGGAGGGTCAGGAGTTCAAGGCCAGTGTTAGGTCCATAGCAAATTTAAGTTTAGTCTGGGCTATATGAGATCCTGTCTCAAAAAAGAAAAAAGGAATTGGGGTACTTTCCACCACTTTATGCTTCACTGAATAGTGTTGGGTTTGTTGCCAGCAGGTAAAATCTACTCCACTATGATACCTAAATGGTATTCAGTTGATGAATAATGTACAAAATGTACACACCAGTCCTTTGATAATGGAATGGTCTTATTTTTACTCAAGCAACCATTGCTGAGTCAAAGTGTACATCATTTTACATTTTTTTAGAAAATATTTTTGAGGCAGGTGTCACTCTGTAGCCCAGGGTGGCCTCAAATGTATGGCAACCCTTCTGCCTCAGCTTCTTGAATGCTGGGACTATAGGCATAGCCATCATGTCCAGCTTCCATTTTCATTTTTGGTGAGTGCTAAATTATCATCTAAAACACACGTACCACTTTCCATGGTAGCTGCTTTTCATATCACCCTCTTTTCTTCTCCAGGATGAATCAGGCACCAACTGTGGGCTTTGAGAAGGATGTTGGCAGCCGAACAACCCACCATTTCATGTACCCCGAGAGTGCCAAGAACCTGCCTGCCAATGTCAGCTTCGTGCTGGTACCCTTCAAGGCCCTGGACCTAATGTGGATTGCCAGCGCCCTCTCTACAGGACAGATCCGATTGTGAGCATCTTTGCTGGCTGGGTTCAAAATATTCTATAACTGAATTAGTGAGAAGAGAGGGCTCAACACGGTGGGTGAGAGGAGGACACAGCTCTTCTGTGTCTCTTCCTACGTGGTGTACTGGTGGCAAAAAATTTGAACATCCAGTTTGTGTTGGTTTCTCCAGGAGGCAGCTCTGGACTGTGGATCTCTTCTTTCTGGTAACTGTCCCTGTTATCTTAATTCTGTCACAGCTGGAAACCCTGGGCAATCCATTTCACTGAGGGGTTTGTTATTGCTATTCTTATGATTTTATTTGACCTTTGAGACGAGGTCTTGATAGGTCGGTAAAACTGGCCTTAAGCTTGCTCTGAACTGAAGCAGAACTTGAATTTGTGATCCTTCTGCTTCAGCGTCCCAGGTAGCTGGGATTACAGGTCTGTGTCACAAGGCCTGTTTACCAAAGGTTTGGTGGTTTTTTTTTAAAATATGTATTTATTTGTTTTATGTGTATGTATGTGTACCACAAGAATGCAGGAGCCCAGGGAGGTTGAAAGAGGACATCAGATTTCCCTGGAACTGGAGTTACAGTTGGTTTGGGACTGCCATGTGCATCTAAGAACTAAAAGTGACTCCTCTGCAAGAGGAACAAACATTTTTAACCACTGAGCCATCTCTCCAGCCCCTTGCTTTTTCTGTGTGTGTGTGTGTGTGTGTGTGTGTGTGTGTGTGTTTCTTGAGGCAGAGTCTCATGTAGCCAAGGCTGCTGGCTTTGAACTAATTTTCCTGCCTCCACCCCCACAATTCTTGGGTACAGGGATATGCCACTACTGATTCTTACAAACAAAACAAAAAAATTAGATGTATTTATTTTAGAAGTATGAATGTTTGCCTGCACATGTATATATGTTGTTACCACGTGTGTGTCTGGTACCTGCGTAGGTCAGAACTGGTGTGAACATGACACCCGAGTTCGGTCCCCAAGACCCACATGGTAGATGGAGAGAACCCATTCTTGCAAGTTGTCCTCTGACATGTATGCTGTGGTGCTCGTGTATCCCAACACACAAATAAATGAATGTGATTAAAAGTTAGTAACGTTTTGATGAATTCAGAATGCTGTAAACATGACAATTTAAGAATGTCTTTATTCTCTAAAGGTCTTTGTTCTAGTAATACCCCAATAACCCAATCATCTTATCGCAGTCCTGAATAACCATTTCCTCTACTCTGCCTCACTTTTACTTTTTTGTTTGTTTTTTGAGTCAGGGTTTCTCTGTAACTTTTGGAGGCTGTCCTGGAACTCACTCAGGAGACCAGGCTGGCCTCGAACTCACAGAGATCCGCCTGCCTCTACCTCCTGAGTGCTGGGATTTCTTAGAAAACTTAGGACCACCAGCCAAGGGATGGCATCACCCACAATGGGTGGGGCCCTCTTACATCAGTCACTAATTGACAGAATTCCCTGCAGCCCAATCTTATGGAGACATTTTCACAATTTAGATCCTCCTCTCAGATGCTTCTAGCTTGTGTCAGCTGACATAAAAATTAGCCAGGACACTTGATGAGTTTGAGATGACAGCTAATCCAAGTGTAGAGTTCCCCAGCAGTTTGGGGGAAGAAAGCTTGAGATTAGAGGTCCACAGGCTTGACTTAACGATCTCAACTTTATCCTGAAAGCCATGGAAGGTTTCTAATCAAGGTCCTGCAGTGATGAACATGCAATAGAAATAGATTATTCTAGAAATTTCGAGGCTGTCACCATTTGGGCATAAGGATCAGGAGATATCTTGGGTCCTGAAGAGCCATCTGAAAGGTTTTTTTTTCCTTTTCTGTCTTGCAGCACCTATGCTCCAGTGAAGTCCTTCCTTCGAGTGGACAAAGAAAAGGTAAACTCCCTGCCTCCTGCTCTTTTGATGATGGCTTACTCAAGGTGTGTCTAGTCCTATGGCTCAGGAGTTGCACAGTGAGTTTCCAAGACCGTCAAACTCTGCATCTGCTATTATTCCTGCCTCCAGCCCTGACCACAGGAACCTAGGAAAAACCATGTGTAGCACTACTGAGGAATTGCTAGAAGCTGCTCAAGGCCTGCCCCGAATCTCTAGGCTTCCAAACCCTTCATGTGCCTCTTATTCTCCTCACAGGTCCAGATTTACAACCCAGCCTTCTTCAAGTACATCCATGACAGGTGGACGGAGCACCATGGACGGTACCCTTCCACAGGGATGCTGGTGCTCTTCTTTGCACTGCATGTGTGTGATGAGGTAGGCAGTTTGTGCCAGTCTAGAGGGGAAGTAACAGAGCCCCAAAACAGAGGGAAACAGCCCCTTTCCTATCTTAGCAGCGACTCTAGTGGTGTGGCTTAGGTACTCTCATATATGTACTATAAACAAAACAGTATATTCCAGTATATTCGCATTTCCAAATCTTTATTACCTTTTTGGCTTCACTAAAAAAAGTTACTTAGTCGGGCCTGGTGTCACACGCCTTTAATTTCAGCACTCAGGAAGCAGAGGCAGGTGATCTCTGAGTTCCAGGACAGCCAGGCTAACACAAGGAAACCCTGTCTCGAAAAACCTAAGTAAATAATAAAGTAAAAGTACCTCGTTGAAAAGTTAAATTTAGAGCTGCGTCATGGTGGCGCCTGTAATGTCAGCCCTGGAGAGGCTGAGCCAGGAGCCGTCCACCTGGGCCACATAGCACCCTTCTATAGAAAAGCAAAAAACGTATGTGAAAGACAGAGGACGCAGCAGTCCCCCTGAGTCAGAGTCCTTGGATCTGGCTTAGGTTTACCACACCCAGGTCCCTGACTCGCAGTGACCCCTGTGCCACCCTCTCCCCAGGTGAACGTGTATGGGTTCGGGGCTGACAGCCGAGGCAATTGGCACCACTACTGGGAGAACAACCGGTATGCGGGCGAGTTCCGGAAGACAGGCGTACATGACGCCGACTTCGAAGCCCACATCATTGACATGCTGGCCAAGGCCAGCAAGATCGAGGTCTACCGAGGGAACTGAGCTGCCCAGGGCACATCAGGACCAGTGAAGCTTCGGTCCGGCGAGCACAGGATATCGCTCACCAATCAGACTCTGCTGTTTCCAGCAACCAATCAGTGCTGCCGTCAGGCGGGAGCTTCTCTTTCTCAGCCAATCATGCGACTCAAGGAGAACTTCCGGCGCCGCTGTCTCCACCAATCATGGCCTTGGGAGGCGGCGGGGCCTCGACCCCTCTCCCCCTCCTCACCTTGCTTTGGATAAGTTTTCTTTTCCACCTTTTAAGAGGCCAGTTCTAGTCCCGGCAGGAGCGCCTTGGACTGCTCATTTCTCAGTTAGGCCTGGATGGGTGAGTGAAGCCCACCAAAGAAATGTGGCCGCAGTGAGACCTCCTCCAGGGCGTTCCGTGGCTCACCAGGTGGTAGGGGATTAGTCTCACCCCCAGCTGGGTGAACCTCCCTAGGGCCTCACTCCACTTGTCAGCAAGGGGTAGGAGCTCCACCCGGTCACTTGCAAGGTGCTTCTCTCTCGTGTGCCCTCACTTCTACTGTCCCCCACCACGTTCTTAGCGTCTGACCTTCGGCCCTGGGCTTTCAGCTCTCCTGTTGATCTTGAGACAAAATGACACCACAGGGAGGGAAGCTGCTGCTCACGCACTCAGTCATTCGCGCGCGTGCACACGCGCCACACACACACACACACACACACACACACACACACACACACACACACAGCAGCAGCAGCAGCAGCACAGTGGACAACAGGCTAGGGAGGAGAGCCCAGCTGCCTGTGCATGTACTTTTTTCTTTCATTGTCACCCCAAAGAGGAGCAGGCAGCCCTTTGCTTGGGGTAGGATTTGCTTTGGGCTCATACTTTAGTTCCCCTGAAGCTGCCAGGGATGGCTGCCCAAGATTGCTTGACAATTCTTTGCAGGCCTTGCAGATGTCCTGGAGCTTTGCTGGGGAGGAGTGGATTGGTGGCTGCCAGGCACGCCTCCTCCTGTCCACCCTGCTTACTCGCCTGTCCTAACGCACTTTCTGGCTCCTAGAGAGCTGCTGAGTAAAGAATTAGGGGTTACAACTGGAAGCTACATGCATGACTCGACCCGAGTCAAGGTTGAGATGCAGTGGGTGAAAGGGCTTCAGTGACTTAATCGGGCCACAGAAAGTACTCCCCCTTCCCTGCAGTGTGCACATAAATTATTTCCCATTCTTAACTCGACATTATCCAGCCTCCTGGCTGGGGGAAAGTCACCCAAAGGGAGAGTATTAGAGGGTTGGGGTGAGGTAGCAGGTACCCCTAAAAACTAATACATTAGGAACCTTTTTTGAATCTGTCCCCATTCCAAAAGCAGGGGTGGAGGAAAGGGGGATACGCTGAGTGGGGCTACAGGGGAACCTCTCAGGGCTCTGGCCATCTGCAGTCAAGGCACCAGCGTTCTGCTCTTGCCTGTCTCATCTCTGCTCTCAAGACGCTGCTGTGATGAGAAGTTGAAAAACAATGCAATTATGCCAAACAGTATTGAGAAGAATAATTTATTTTTCTCCCCTTCCTCCCCTTGTATTGTTTAAACCATTAATCCCCATTCTGGAAGAGATAGGTCCCAGCACCCAGATCTTTTCTTCTAGTTATTTAAACATTTGAATTTTTCCTTCCCTTTCTTTTTCTGAATTAAAAAGAACAAACCCCATGGAGTCACTCATCTGTTCTGAGCTGTACTGTGGATCTAAGGAGACACTATAATGGTAAGGATGTTTGGGAGAACAAAGCAATTCTGATAGCCTCTTACATGAGCCTAGTTCATCGACTCTGCTCTCTGAAGCCCCCCCCAGGAATATAATTATTGCGATTTAAAAATTTATTGCACCAGGTAGGATGGCATGTACCTTTAATCCCAGGAGTTGGAGGCTGAGGCAGGAAAATAAATTAAAGGCTAACCTTAGCTGTCTGGCAAGTTTGAGGCCAGTCTGGGATATATGAGACCGTTTCTCAAAAGAAAAGTGAGCAAAAAATGAATTCACTGTCCCCTCTTCAGATTCCTCTAAAGAGTAAAAGACCTGGAAAGAATTCCTGGCTCACCTGAGAAGTGCTTTTATAAATGCAGGCCTCCACTAGAGGTTCATGTTGATACATCTCAGCACCCATAAAGTTGTCCTTCCCCATGGGGAGAGCCTCTCTGGAGTTCTCCTGCCTTTGGCATTTTTCTGCTGACCCAGTAACAATCCACAGGCCTCCCATCTTGCTGCCAGGGTAACAAGGCGCTTTACAGGAGTGGTTCTCTGGGAGGACTGCTGAGGCACAGTGCCCCCTCGGCTTTGCACATCATTAAGGATAATGCTTAAGGATAAAGGTTAAATAAACTTAAGGAGGGTAGCAGGGGAAAAATGGTGGATCTGTACCTTAACTCACTAAAATAGATGTCAAATGGATCACAGAACTGAATTTAAAAACCCCTACAAGGAATCCTTTTTAATATACTGTCACATTTTAGGTATTGCAAGTTTTGTAGTTAGATTTTCCTCCCATGCTTTATGGTTCCCCCTATAATGAAGGCTTTAATTTTATTTTTTTTTTATTCCATTTTGTTAGAATACTCTTTACAGCTATTTTAACTCATTCCTATAGTCCCTGGGAGGCTGTGGAGGCATGCCATTTAACCAAACACTAATAGGCACTTCCTTGGTATCCTGGTCTCTGTGGCTTTGCACTCTGGGTATTTAACTCTTCTGTCATGATGAAGGCTTCTGAGTATAGGGATAGAGGACTGTCCCTTTTGTTAGAATAGGGGACCAATGTAGAGAGGCTGCATCAGCATTATTCATAGAAACAACCTACCAGGGCTGACACTAGGGTGCTGTACAATCAGCTGTGACCTGGGATGAAAGCCATCACTCCATCACCAGTCCACAGACTATCTGCCTTGCTTTTTTTTTTTTCTTTCAAGACAGGGTGGTTGTCTTGTGTATGTGTGTGGCCCTGGCTATCCTACAACTTGCCAAGACCAGGCTGCATTGAACTCAGAGATCCACCTGCCTCTGTCTCCCAAGTGCTGGGATTAAAGGTGTGCGCCACCACTGCCTGGCTATCTGCCGTGTTTTAAAGTAAGATATGTTCTGAATCATAGTGCTCATATCACAACCCTTCTCTGGACCCAAAACCTCTCACACACAAAGAGCTATGGTGCCTCTTACGTGAACACAAAGCACTATTACACACACTTTTGAATGAGCATGTATTAGTCTAGTAAGCAGAAAAATACAAATAACAAACCATGATTAGTAAAATGTTTCTCATAGTCACTTAAAAATTTCTGAAAATGATGTTATCACTGATTTATCTCATTCATACAATGTATGAAGTAACCCATAAGTCTGCTAACGGCATAATGTTTTTGTTTGGTCAGAACTTCCTTTCTAAATTGCTGCTTGGCATGAAATCCCATGGACTAGAACCAAACAATCGAGTCAGGTACAGAACAGATGGAGTGAACATGAGGAAAGACAGGCCCCATCTTCAAAGGGCCGAAACACCAATCTTCCTCTGAGTCTGTGATTTTGTTGACTTCCATCTTGTCTGCCAATCTGAAGGATAAAGCAGCAGCCAAGATACTTGCCGAAAGGAATGGGTGGGTGGGGCACTCAGGGCTCTACTGGTTCTATAAAAGGTATCTGAGCTACAGCCAGGGCTCTCCTGGCCTGTCTGAACCACTTTTGCCTGGAGGGTTAGTTCAAACACATTGGAGGCAGAGTGGGCAGCAACTTCTGGGCCCAAACATCACCAGCAGCAACAATATTGCCATAAAAGAAAAATGTGGCTTTAAAGGGAGATAGAGCTAAGGACTCTTTTTTTGAGACAAGGTCTCACTTTGTAGCTCTGGCTACCCTGGAACTCTAGATTGGGTTGGCCGGGAATTGAGATACTCCTGCCTCTGCCTCTCAGGTGCTGAGATTAAAGGTGCTGAGGCACAGTGCCCCCTCGGCTTTGCACATCATTAAGGATAATGCTTAAGGATAAAGGTTAAATAAACTTAAGGAGGGTAGCAGGGGAAAAATGGTGGATCTGTACCTTAACTCACTAAAATAGATGTCAAATGGATCACAGAACTGAATTTAAAAACCCCTACAAGGAATCCTTTTTAATATACTGTCACATTTTAGGTATTGCAAGTTTTGTAGTTAGATTTTCCTCCCATGCTTTATGGTTCCCCCTATAATGAAGGCTTTAATTTTATTTTTTTTTTATTCCATTTTGTTAGAATACTCTTTACAGCTATTTTAACTCATTCCTATAGTCCCTGGGAGGCTGTGGAGGCATGCCATTTAACCAAACACTAATAGGCACTTCCTTGGTATCCTGGTCTCTGTGGCTTTGCACTCTGGGTATTTAACTCTTCTGTCATGATGAAGGCTTCTGAGTATAGGGATAGAGGACTGTCCCTTTTGTTAGAATAGGGGACCAATGTAGAGAGGCTGCATCAGCATTATTCATAGAAACAACCTACCAGGGCTGACACTAGGGTGCTGTACAATCAGCTGTGACCTGGGATGAAAGCCATCACTCCATCACCAGTCCACAGACTATCTGCCTTGCTTTTTTTTTCTTTCAAGACAGGGTGGTTGTCTTGTGTATGTGTGTGGCCCTGGCTATCCTACAACTTGCCAAGACCAGGCTGCATTGAACTCAGAGATCCACCTGCCTCTGTCTCCCAAGTGCTGGGATTAAAGGTGTGCGCCACCACTGCCTGGCTATCTGCCGTGTTTTAAAGTAAGATATGTTCTGAATCATAGTGCTCATATCACAACCCTTCTCTGGACCCAAAACCTCTCACACACAAAGAGCTATGGTGCCTCTTACGTGAACACAAAGCACTATTACACACACTTTTGAATGAGCATGTATTAGTCTAGTAAGCAGAAAAATACAAATAACAAACCATGATTAGTAAAATGTTTCTCATAGTCACTTAAAAATTTCTGAAAATGATGTTATCACTGATTTATCTCATTCATACAATGTATGAAGTAACCCATAAGTCTGCTAACGGCATAATGTTTTTGTTTGGTCAGAACTTCCTTTCTAAATTGCTGCTTGGCATGAAATCCCATGGACTAGAACCAAACAATCGAGTCAGGTACAGAACAGATGGAGTGAACATGAGGAAAGACAGGCCCCATCTTCAAAGGGCCGAAACACCAATCTTCCTCTGAGTCTGTGATTTTGTTGACTTCCATCTTGTCTGCCAATCTGAAGGATAAAGCAGCAGCCAAGATACTTGCCGAAAGGAATGGGTGGGTGGGGCACTCAGGGCTCTACTGGTTCTATAAAAGGTATCTGAGCTACAGCCAGGGCTCTCCTGGCCTGTCTGAACCACTTTTGCCTGGAGGGTTAGTTCAAACACATTGGAGGCAGAGTGGGCAGCAACTTCTGGGCCCAAACATCACCAGCAGCAACAATATTGCCATAAAAGAAAAATGTGGCTTTAAAGGGAGATAGAGCTAAGGACTCTTTTTTTGAGACAAGGTCTCACTTTGTAGCTCTGGCTACCCTGGAACTCTAGATTGGGTTGGCCGGGAATTGAGATACTCCTGCCTCTGCCTCTCAGGTGCTGAGATTAAAGGTGTGCACCACCACACCTGGCTAGGACTATTTTCTAAAATGCAAAATTGTTCCTTGAATTTCCCCCTACTCTATGCACAAATTTGTCAAGTCCAAACATGATTCTGAATGAGGTAGGTAGTCTCTACTCAGGCCTTGGTCTTTGAGGTGCCCGTCAAGGCCTTTGCCATGAAAGCACTAGGCTCCCAGGCAGGGACAGTGCTGAGGGTGGCGCCAGTCGCTGGTGAAGCTTCTCAGTTGGCTATTTTCTCGATCTCATCCAAATCATCTGTGTCCAATCTTTCTATCTTCTTATCTGAGGGAAAAACAGATTGGAAGACCACCATGAACTACCATGGAGATGCAACAGAAGTCATCTAGAACAAACATCATGGCAGTCTGGGGAGGTGCTTAGCTGTGGGACAGTGGTGCGTCCTCCGGGCACAAAGCAAGCTTTCTGAGCCTGAGCAGCTGACTACAGGTCCCTGGTCACGCATACTGACATCCCAGGGAAGTTGTCAGGTTCTCCTAGCTCGGTGTCAGGGCGCTGATACTCCAGTCCCCCAGCCCTGAATGTGCAGGTGCTCTCCTGACAACATCCAGGTGGAGCCAGCTGTGCAGGGACAGAGCCCACCTCGGGGACAAAGGAAACCTCCCCTCCCCCACACTCCCCTCTGAAAAGGGTTCCAGGCACAGCTAACTCAGGGACTCACTAAAATGCTCCTGGATTCTGTTGAGGATGTTCATGCTGTGCTTGCTGTCAACCATGTTTACTGCCAGACCCCTCTTGCCAAAGCGGCCAGTGCGTCCGATGCGATGCAGGTAGGTCTCATTGTCTGGGTTCCCGTCCTTGTCCACAGGAAGGTCAAAATTGATGACGACAGACACTTGTTCAACATCAATACCTGCACAAAGGGGTTGCAGGGAGGCAGGCAGGAGACAAAGGGGCCACCGTCAACCACAGAAACTACTGGAAACATGGCTTGGGCAGGTCACTGGTCGCTAAAGAGGACACCTACAGGGCTGTAGCCTAGGCAGAAGGACAGAACTCTGGCAGAAGAGAGAAAGCAAGTGTCTGGAAGCCTGAGTGTCTTCCCACCAAGGCAGGACTGCTGGCTTTGGCTTCTTCCAAGTGTTTCTGACTGTCCTCCTACAAAGGAATGTCCCTAAAACCCTCCCACCTCCGTGAGACTACTTTTCTTGCTCACAGGGCCTGGGACCCCAAGCCTGGTGAACGGGACCAGTGTCTGCTCACCACGGGCACACACGTTGGTGGTCACCAGGACCTTCTCTTTGCCTTCCCGGAAGCGCTCAATCACAGCTGCCCTCTGTTCCACCATCATTTCTCCACTCAGCAGAGCCACCTGGTGTCCCTCTTTGGAGAGTTCTGCTGCCAGCCAGCTAGCTGTTTTGCGGGTCTGGGAAAAAAAGCCAAAACCAAAATCAAAACAACAAAACAAAACAAAAAACACCAAAAACCAAACATTTAAAAAATATTAGCACTGAAAGAGACTATTGCGGACCTAGAAGACTCTCTGAAATTTACCAGGTAAACATTACGTAAGCTAAAACTGCCAATCTTACAGTACAATAACAAGCAGAAATGTCACCTGGGAAACAATTTTACAGTGTTACCACTATAAAAATACACTTGGGTCTAAAGACATGGTTCAGTGGGCAAAGATACGATGCTCAGGGTGATAACCAGAGTTTGAATCCAGAGACTCACATGGTGGAAGAAGAAAACCGACTTCCCAGATATCCTGACACACTGTGGCATGTACACACACAAATTAATTAATTAAAAAAAATACACTTAACGCTGATGCAGAAAAATCTGAAGTTGAAGGCCAGTCTGAGCTATATAGTAAGACCTTATCTCAAAACCAAAACAGATCTGGATGGGTCACAAGAGGGGTAAGGGAAATCAGAGTCTTTGAGCTGTCCTTGTCCTGAAGAGAAATGTCAAGAGTTTGACATGTCAGACATGCTATGTCAGAGACATGAAGGGATGATTCTGAGTAAGGGAATTCTCAAGAGATAGGACTACTGAATGCAATACACAATCCTGGACTGACTGCCTCAGGTTTAACATAACATAAAGCAAAAAGGGCTGAAGAGATGACTCAGTAGTTAAGAGAATATATTGCAAATTTAATCACAGCACTTGGGAGGCAGAGGTAGATGACTCTGAATTTGAGGCTAGGTTGGTCTACAGAGCCTGTTCCAAGACAGCCAGGGCCACACAGAGAGAAACTCTGTCTTGAAAAACCAAGGCAAAATAAAATAAAGATCACAGTAGAAAGAACTGTACTGGCAGAAGATGAAGTGTGAGAAGGGGCTGAAGGAAGGAGTGGCAGTGCATCCCCTGCAGGCCTGCGGCAGCTACTCACATGGCAGAAGATCATGGCTTGGGCGATGGTGATGGCCCCATACAGGTTGCACAGGGCCTGGAACTTCTCCTCTCTGCTATTGCAAAGGACATAATACTGTTTGATAGTGTCCAAAGTCTCCTCCTCACGCTTAAGTTTGATGATGTTGGGGTCTGGGACCACTTTCTGGGCAAACTTCCACACTGAGTCTTCAAAGGTGGCAGAGAAGAGCAGCATCTGGCAGTTTCTGGGCAGCATCCTGCAAGTGGAGGCCCAGGCACTTTGCACGACTCCAATGTTTTGATCAGAAAGAACACAAGCCCAGCCTCTGCAGCCTGGGTGGGCTGCAGCCCCAGCAAGCTGAGTGGCATATAGAACATCCTGGGGAGGGAGGAGCAGACCCAGTGTGGCACTGGGCTGAATGAGGGTTCCAGGTCTCCCTTCTCAGCACAGGCTGGGAGCATGGTGAGAGCATGTGGAAATGGCCCAGCACGCAAATACTGCTGCACAGACCAGAGCAGAGAACCCAGAGATGCAAGAGGAGGCTTTGGCTCCAGTCCCTACCTCTGGATGCGGATGCTCTGGTCTTGGTGGCCCTGAGTTGCTATCATCACGTCAGCCTCGTCCAGAACAAACACCTTGATCTTCTTGGGGTCAATGAACTTCAGCTTGGAGCACCAGTCCAGGACGGTTCCGGGGGTGCCAATGACAATCTGCTCATTGACCTTCTGACCTCTGTCCACTGTGGAAAAGACATGTTTTCTTCAGGTATTCCAAAGGAAAGCCAGCTCTGGAAATAAAAGCCTTATACACCCTCTCAGAACTGTCAGAACAAATAAACTCCAGATTTCAAAACACCTATGGAGGCTGGTAAGAAGGTCAGCATGTAAAGGCCTCTGTCAGGCCTGAGAACTGAATTCAATCCTGGGAAGCACATGGTGGCAGGGAAGGACTGACTCGCACAAGCTATCCTCTGACCTAAACACACCGTGGCTACTATTCTCCACTGCACAAACAAACACACACTCTTCAACTGTGAAGTAGGACAATCCCTGTACAGTGCATTTTAGAAACAAAATGTGTGTGCTGATATATTATTTATGACTTAATAAAGATTACCTGAAGGATCAAAATGCAAAGCCAGCCACACTAGTTAGCTATAGAAGCTGGGCAGTGGGCTGGGCACTGGTGGCGCATGCCTTTAGTCCCAGCACTCGGGAGGCAGAGGCAGGTAGATCTCTGTGAGTTCGAGACCAGTCTGGTCTACAAGAGCTAGTTCCAGGACAGCCTTCAAAGCCACAGAGAAAACCTGTCTCAAAAAACCAAACAAGCAAACAAAATTAAAAAAAAAAAAAAAAACCCACAAAAACAAAAACAAGCTGGGCAGTGGTAGCACACATCTTTAATCCCAGGACTCAAGAGACAAAGGCAGATGGATTTCTGTGAGTTCTAGGCCACCCAGGGTTACATTAGAGTCAATCAGTCTAAAAGAGAAACAGTTCACACAAAGGAGACCTCAGCATTTGAGATCCCACGCCTTTAATCCCAGCTCTAAACAGGTATATAAGATAGGAGCGGGCATTCAGTATTCAGTCTCAGGGAATTATTCTCTACCCACACTGAGTACAAGACAGCCCTTTCAGTCTGCGGTAGAGGTAAGAGCTAGTGGCTGGCTGCTTTGCTTCTCTGATCGTCAGCTTGAGCCACCATATATGTCTCTGGGTTTTTAATTTTTGTGTTACAATGTACAGGTTTCTTTCTACTTTCTCCTAAAAACTTTGAAAAAAAATTTTTATTAGATTGTGGTGGATATGCTTGGTGCCTTCAAAGGCCAGAACGGGGATCCAGATCCCCTGGAATTGGAGTTATAGATAGTTAGCTGCCCCATGTGGGTCCTAGGAATTGAACCTGGGTCCTCTGAAAGAACAAGTGCTCTCTCTAATACTGTGAGCCATCTCTGCAGCCTCTCCTAAGCTTCATATCCGGCCCTTGTTAACACTGTTTATCATCCTCTTCCATGCAGCTCACTTCTTTCCTCCTGAACTGGGTGGCCTGAGTCAAGGATCCCGGCACAGACTCTGTCTGCTTTCTCTCCTATAGACATTCTATTTGTATAGCGAGTTTCCCAAAGGACACATCTGTAGCTTAAAACACACACACACACACACACACAAACACACACACCCATCCACCCACCCCACGTCTCTGAAACTGTTACTATTTTCAGGTCTTACCCCATATACTCACATTTATTGCCTCGAACAGCATAAGCTAGCTTCAGTTCTGGATGAAATTTGCCCATCTGCTCAATCACCTTTCCTGTCTGAAGTGCCAGTTCATATGTTGGGGACAGGCACAAACACTGGCAGAGGAATTGCAGATGAGTTTAGTAATAGACAAGAGGCATAAGCCCACAAGTACCTGATGATATTATCTTTTAAATAGTGCTGGGGACCTCTTCCTCAAGCAGGCCCACCTCTCACCTGCTGAATGAATGCCTTCAGTAGGGAACCTGCCCTAGTGGGAGCCCTGCTTCAGTATTGGTAGAAGCCTTAAGAAACTACTGCTTAAATTTGCTGTCAGCAAAAGAATTCTACCCTGTCAAAGACTGAAGCACTTAACCTGCTTTGTGGGAGCCAAAGACTAATGTTAGTCATACCTCACCAGCTGGCACTACACTGCCTCAGGACATGCAAGCCAGAGCCCCCAGGCCTCTAATGCTCACCTGAGGGTATCTGTCTGCTGGTTCCACTCTGCTGAGCATAGCTAAAACAAAGGCGGCTGTTTTCCCAGTACCAGACTGTGACTGGGCAATAAGGTTCTGTGGGCTGCATTGACAAAGAACAGAAATAATTTAATATTGGAGCAAGATGTGGTGATCCATGTTTTTAACCCTAGCAGTTAAAGAGTCAGAAACATGCAGATTACTTTGAGTTCAAGAGCAGACTCCAAAGTAAGTTCTGCTAGGCAGAAAAAAAGTTAATATTGGTTAAACATAATCAAACATCCAGGGCTGGTGAGATAGCTCAGAGGTTGAAGAGCACTGTCTGTTCTTCCAGAGGTCCTGAGTTCAATTCCCAGCAACTATATGGTGCCTCACAACCATCTATGAGATATGGTACTCTCTTCTGGTGTGTGCATACATGTAGGCAGAATGCTGTATATATGATAAATAAATAATTCTTAAAAAAAAAAACATAGTCAAAAATCTGCCAGGTGGTGGTGGTGCACACCTTTAATCCCAGCACTCCAGAGGCAGGTGGATCTCTGTGAGTTCGAGGTCAGCCTGGTCTACAGAGTGAGTTCCAAAACAGCCAGAGCTGTTACACAGAGAAATCCTGTCTCAAAAAAAGAAAAAAAAGAAATCTCAAAATGTTTTTCCCTAGATAGTATGAATTTCTCTCCACTTAAGTTTCTTTATATTGTCTATGTTTCTGCACTGAAGAGAAATTAACCTTAATACATTATTTCACCTAGAATGCTGAGAATTGGACCTGTGCCCTGGCACATGCTATGCAAGCAATCTGTCACTGAACTATATTCCTTTTTTTCCCCCTGAGACAGGGTTTCTCTGTGTATCCAGGATAGACTCCAAAGTTACAGAGAAACACTGTCTGGAAAACACCAACTCCCTGCCTCAATAAAAAGAATTGATTATTTAGATGGGTTCACACCAACAAAACTCTGATTCCAGACTTTGCAGTGTCCTAGTTTTATGCCCCAAATGTACTAGGGAGATCAAGAATGCAGAGTAAGAGCTGGGCCACCAACGTCCCAGTGATGTTTTCTGCTGAGTTAAATAACATGTTCCCAAATTCAGCTCTTTCTGAACACTCTCTAGATCTAATGGGTGTTTTAGAAGGAACCTTTTCAATCTATCTCATCTGACTCAATAACCATGGTGTTTTGTCATTAAAAAAAGAAGTTGAGCTAAAAAGTCATACAAAATACTGTATCATTTGTCTAAGCTTTAAAAATATGCAAGCTGCCCTTAGATAACTATACACATAGTGAAAGTACAAACACCCAAGGAGATAATAACCATCTCAGATGACATTTGCTTCAGAACAGGTAGGCAAGGGGTGGGAAGGAGGGTTTAAGGGAGATTCCACAAACAACTGAACTGATGTTATATCTTATATTCTAAAGCTAGAGAGATATTACTGGTATCCTTCTGTATAGTTTTTGTTATGGAGCTTAAAATTTTCTAAGTAGTATTTTTAAAAACTTTTTTATATGTATGGGTGTTTCACATATGTATACAAAGAGGGCATCAGATACTCTGGGATTAGTTATACACATGGTTGTAAACTACAATGTGGTTGCTAGGAATTGAACCTGGGACCTATGAGAGAGGACCAAGTGCTCTTAACTGCTGAGTCAGCCCTTTAGTTCTTCAAAAACAGTTTTTTGAACCAATTTTTTTGTTTGTTTTTGAAAAGGCAGAGATTAAACCTAGGTCATCAAGAATGCCAAGCAAGGGCCAGGAGTGTTAGTACACATCTTTAACTCCAGCACTCAGCAGAACTTGAGGCCAGCCTGGTCTACACAATCAGCTCCAGGCAGGCCAAGACTACATAGTGAAACCCTGTCTCAACAAAACCAAAATGAACGAATAAACAAACAAATAAATAAATGAAAAGAATGCCAAGGAATCGGTCTACAATTGAGGTAAGTTCCAGATACTATTTCTGGATTTACTTATTCACTTATTTAATTTTGAGATAATGTATCACTGTAGTCCACTCTGGTCTTGAAATCAAAATCCCCCTACATCAGCCTCTCAAAGGCTAGAATTATAGGTATGATCCACCAGATACTCAGCTCCAAAATATTATCTAAAACATAAGAAAAAAATTTTTTTGAGACAGGGTTTCTCTGTATTGTTTTGGAGGCTGTTCTGGAACTAGCTCTTGTAGACCAGGCTGGTCTCAAACCCATAGAGATCCATCCACCTGCCTCTGCCTCCCAAGTGCTGCCTCCCAAGGCGTGCGCCACTACCACCCATGCGAAGAAAAATATTTTAAACATAAAATCTTATAACTGTCTAAAACATTAGTTCTCAGCCTGTGGGTTGAGGCCTTTTGATGTTTTAACAGCCCTTTCATAGGGGTCACGTAAAACCACTGGGGAAAAACACGTATTTACATTACCATTCATTAACAGTAGCAAAATTAAAGAAAGTAATTTTATGGTTGTGGGGGTCATACAACATGAGGAATTGTATTAAAGGGTTACAGCATTAGCAAGGTTGAGAACCACAGGCCTAAAATGGATAATTATTTCTATCTATCTTTTTTTTTTGAGATAGGGTTTCTCAGTGTAGCTTTGGAGCCTATCCTGGTACTCACTCTATAGACCAGGCTGGCCTCAAACTCATAGAGATCTGGCTGCCTCTGCCTCCCGAGTGCTGGGACTAAAGGAGTTAATTTTATTTTTACTGCTAAATGGAAACAATGAAGAACTGAGTGCATGGGGGGCATGGGAGGATGGGAGAGGGAACTGGGATTGATATATAAAATAAGATTGTTTCTAATTTAAATAAAAAAGTAAGAAAGGGTATTTAAAAAACTGAGTGCATAGAGATGTGGAGTTGTCTCAATGGTTAAGAGGACTTCCTGCTCTTTCACAGGACAGAGGTTCAGTTCCCAGGATCTATGCAGGGTAGGGCACACACCACCTGTAAATCCAGATCCAAGAGATCCAATGTCCACTTTTAGACTCTGCGCACACACATGCACATGCTCACACACAGATACATATACATCTATGTACATAATTATAAATAAATCTTTTAAAGAATGATTTACTATTTTTTTATTCAGTGCATTGTTTTGCCTATATGTATGAGGGTGTCAGATCACTGGAACTGGAGTGACAGACAGTTGTAAGCAGCCATGTGGGTGCTGGGTATTGAGCTCTGGTCCTGTGACAGAGTAGCCAGTATTCATGACCACTGAGCCATCTCTCCAGCACTTGAAAATAAATCTTAAAAAATATATTTACATAAAAAAGAAATTTGAGGGGCCGAAGAGATGACTCAGTGGTTAAGAGCACTAGCTGCTCTTCCAGAGGTCCTGAGTTCAATTCCCAGCACCCACATGGTGGTTCTATCTATAGTGGGAGGCCTTCTTTTGTCATGTAGGCAGAATGCTATACACATAATGAATGAACTTTTAAAAAAAGAAAAAGGAAATGTGAGCCAGGCAGTGGTGGCTCACACCTTAAATACCAGTAATCAAGAGGCCAAGGCAGGCCTTGGATCTCATGAATTTGAGGTAAGCCTGGTCTAGAGTAAGTACCAGGACAGTGAGGGATACACAGAGAAACCCTGTATTGAAAAACCAAACTAAAGATGAACAAACAAACAAACCCCAAGAAAAAGAAAAGAGCTCACATCCATGCGATTCTCCCTGCACTTCTAAAGCTCTTTTCCTGAGAAGGCGGGTTATCCCAGACAGCCCGTTTTGTGCCCAGAAACAATGAGCCATTCGCGAAACACTTAGTTAAACCAGATATGAAGAGGTACAGCTGGGTCTGTACTCACGGTTCAGCAAGCATCATGGGCAACGCATTCTCCTGGATCTTGGATGGTCGATTGAAGCCCATGGCATAGACTCCCTGGAGAAGCTGGGGTTTCCTAGGAGGAAAGACAGAGATGAGATGGGTTTCTAGCAATTAAAATGTTTTCAGCGGTTCATCATATATCAAGACATGATGCCTCCTATCTCAATCAAACTATTATTCTAAAATCTACATTTATTTATTCTCTATGTATGCATGTGCCATGGTGAACAGGTGGAGGTCAGAGGGTAACATGAACAAGTCAGTGCTCTCCTTTCCCCATGGAGGTCCTGGGGACTGAACTCAGGTAATCAGGCTTGGTGGAAAGTGCCTTTACCCAATGAACCACCTCACCAACTCCAAACTATTATTTAAAAAGATTTATTTTTACTCTATGTGTATGAATTCACATTTATGCAAAGGTGTGTGGGTGCCCATGGAAGGCAGAAGAATGTAACATGAAAAATAAATGAGCCAGAGACAGATACTGGGGTTCAAGCTTCAAGATGAAGATCAGAGAAGCAAAGCAACCAGTAGATCTTACCTCTACCCAGCTGAAATAGCAATCCTGTCACCATGAAAATTGTCAGAGGCAAAAGCTCTGAATTTCTGTCTCCTCCTCCTTCTACTCCTTTCCTCAGCCAACCATGTCTCCTAGTGCTGGGATTAAAGGCGTGTGATCCCAAGAGCTGGGAGTGAGCTCTTACTCTTCACGCTTGTGTAGGCCAGGGTGGTCTTGAACTCAGAGCGATCCATTTGTCTCTCTCCTTAGTCCTGGAGTTAAAGGTGTGTGACACCATTGCCTAGCTGCTACTGATAACTAGTATGGCTGTGGCTGGCTTTGCTTTCTGATACTTCGGGCAATCTTTATTGAATCATAATTAATATATCACCATAGAAGGGGGCACTGGATCCCCGCAAACAAGCAGTTATGAGCTGCTTGATGTGGGTGCTGTCCTCTGCAAGAGCAGCACCTAGTGCTATGGATGAACCATCAGTCCAGCCCTCACCCATCCAAAGCATCACCTTACACTATAAATGTCACTCTGAGACTGTTACAGTTTCTTAAATAGACCTGAAGAACCCACACTTTCAGCAAGCCATCCTAGCTGGTCATGAAATACATTATAAAGGTAAATTCCTAAAATAAACACTGCTTGCTACAGAGATGTAATGTTCAATTTCTTTGGAAAAATGGAATTTTCAGGGGTTTTTTGGCTAGTGTCTCAAGTAGCCAAGGCTATCCTTAATTATTTGGTCTTGCCTTTTATTGGGGCAGAGAGGGATGTTTTTTTAAGACAGGGTTTCTCTGTGTAGCCCTGGCTCTTCTGGAACTCACTTTGTAGACCAGGCTGGGTTCAAACTCAGAGATCTGCCTGCCTCTGCCTTCCCAGTGCTGGGATTCTTTTTCACCACTCATTTTTCATAACTATTTTTATTTCTTGGAGACAAGGTCTGTCTATGTAGCCCTGCTGTCCTGACTGTCTCTTGAGTATCACCAGTTATGCAGACCAGGATTGGTGCATGCACTAGAACTGCACTGCCATCCTGAATTTCAGTATTTCTCTATTTAGATGTCAAGTGTGAGCCCCAATTTTGTGTACTCAGCTGGCTGAATACACAGGGCAAGAAAAAGGAAGAACAGTGATTAAGCTAGTTTCTATTTGTTGATATGGTAACCCGGTAAGTGTGGTTGTTGGGACAGTTTGAATGAAGTCAGAGGCCAGAGCTAGCTACTAGTCAACCAAGATTAAACAGAGGTTTTGGAGGACTGAGGAGAGAGGACAGGAGTAGTATGGCAGATGGGAAGGGATCGTGGCTCTTTTGGAGGCAGGAACAGAGCAGTAGGAAGGCCTGGTGGTTGCTCTGTTTCTCTGATCTTTCAGGTTCTTAGCCCGATACCTGATTCCTGAATTTTATTGATAAAGAACAATTAAATTGGCCAGGTGGTGGTGGCACACATCTTTAATCCTAGCACTCGGGAAGCAGAGGTAGGCAGATCTTTATGAGTTCGAGGCCAGCCTGGTCTACAGAGTGAGTTCCAGGACAGCCTCCAAAGCTACAGAAACCCTGTCTCAACTCCACCAAACAAACCAAACAAAAACAGAACCAGAGGTTTTGGAAGACTGTAGACAGACAGGACAGGAAGTGGTAAGGCGGGGCTGAGAGGGATCAGGACTCTTTTGGAGGAAGAAATGGAGCAGGTAGGAGAGGACTGGTGGCTTCTCTGATCCTTCAGATTCTTACCCCCATACTGACTCCTGAATTTTTACTGATAAAGAATAGATTAACACTTGACTTATTTATCATTACTGTGTGTACTGCATGATGTATCTATGCGTGTGGGTCTGACAGTCATGGTCCATGCACATGTGGATTTTTCAGGAGTTAGTTTTGTTCCTCTACCATGGATTCTGAAGACTGGACTAAGGTTATATCCAGTAAAAAGACACCTTGCCAGCCCAGCAAGCTTTTTGCTTTTGTTTTTAAAGGCTGGCCTTGAACTCATTATGTTGCTGAGGGTAGCTTTGAATTCCTGATCATTTTACCTTTCACCTCCACCTTGAGTGCTGTATCACCGCCCACCCTTCAGAGCTCAGCTTTTCACAGAAAAGCTAATAGCTGGGCATGGTGTCTCACACACTAAAGAAAGTTGAGGTAAAGGACTGCCTCAAGTTGTGTACTATTCCGGACTACACAGTGGTAGTGTATATTGGATCTGGTCAGCCTAAGCTACTGAGACTTTATCTTTAAAAAAGAAAGAGGTGTAGGGAGAGGACTAGCGAGATGATATGAGTATGATCTGTCAGATGGGACCCACATGGTAGAAAGAGGGAACTGACTCCCACAAGTTATCCTCTGACCTCTGCACATGCATACACACATACAAATAAATGCAATAAAAAAGTTTAAAAGACAAAGGGGCTGGAGAGATGGCTCAGTAGACAGCTGTTCTTCCAAAGGAACTTACTTGGTTAGATTCTCAACACCCATGTGGCAACTTACAACTCCAGTTACATGGGATCTGACCGCCCTCTTCTGGTCTTTCTGTGTAGGCAAAACATCCACACAGAAAAAAAATGAAAATTTTATATTTTAAATAAAAATGGTGGCTCAGGCCGGGCGTTGGTGGCGCAGGCCTTTAATCCCAGCACTCGGGAGACAGAGGCAGGCGGATCTCTGTGAGTTCGAGACCAGCCTGGACTACCAAGCGAGTTCCAGGACAGCCTCCAAAGCCACAGAGATACCCTGTCTCGAAAAACCAAAAAAAAAAAAAAAAAAAAAAAAAAAAAATGGTGGCTCAGAGGCAGGCAGATCTGGGTTCAAGGCCAACCTGGAAAAAGAGTGAGTGCCAGTCTAGCTAACAGGTAAGCTATGAGTTCATCAAGAGACCCTGCCCAAAAACAGGATGGGAAATAATAAGAACAGTGTCCCCAATGTCATTGTCTGGCCTCCAAGTATGTGCACATGCATTCCCATGCACAGGTACACATACACAAGTCCCACACACACAAAATGAGAAAACCCCAAACAATAAAATAACCCAAGTACTCTAGGCAATCTAGGTTCCATCCAGTTACCTTCCATCAAATAAGTAAGAGAAAACCTGCCTAAAAGAACAATTTAGGAGCTGGAGAGATGGCTCAGCGGTTATGAGCACTGGCTGCTCTTCCAGAGAACCTGGGTTCAATTCTCAGCACCCACATGGCAGCTCACAACTGTCTGTAGCTTCAGTTCCAGGAGACATGACACCCTCACACAGACATACATGTAAACAAAACACCAATGTGAATGAAATTAAAAAAAGAAAGAACAATTCAAGCTCCAAGCAGTAGCTCAGATCTGCAAGTGCAGTACCTGGCTGGCCAAGGCAGGAGGATCTGTATGAGCTCCAAGTTAGCCATGTGGCTACATAGATTCTTTCAAAAAGAATCAGCAATCCATCAGCAGCTAAACTGAGAGTACAAGTCTTTCAAATGAAAGGCATTTAAAACTCAGTGAGCTCAGAAGAATTCATTCAACAGTTGAGACAACTGGCTCATACCTGTAATCCTAGCACTTAGGAGGATTACTGAGTCCTAGACTAACCTACACTACCTAGTTGACTAGACACAGTAGTGTTCACTACAGACACAATAATGTTGACCTCAGACACTGTAGTGCTAACTACAGACACAGTACTGTACAGTTCAAATAATTAAAAACAGAAAACCCCGGGACTGGAGAGATGGTTCAGTGGTTAAGAGCAAACTGCAGCTCTTCCAGAGGACCTGGGTTTGATTCTCAGCACCCACACAGCATATAACAGTCTGTAACTGAAATTCCAGGGGATCTGATGCCCTCTTCTGATCTGCAAGCATTGCATATACATGGTGCACAGACAAACATGCAGGCAAAACACCTACACACATAAAATAAAAATAATAAATCTTTAAAAAAAAAAAGAAAACTCCTTCTGAGAGCTATTAAGTACATTTATTATTAGGGGGGGTTCCTTCCCTCAATGCTGGCCTATCAAAGGCTTCTATGTATTTTAGGTGTCAAGAATCCAGGCTCTTCAGACAGTTTCTAAAGCAGGCTAAAGTTTGTAAAGCCTGTAGACTTCCAAAGGGCTTACCTAATTAGACATTTCTGACATCCAGAAATCACCTGTCAGCCAATATTTTATTCAAAGCTCTAAGACTATAAAAGAAAAAAAAAAGATTTTCAGCTATGATGAATAAATCTGTAGCACTTCAGTTTCTACTAAGAAAATCATGTACTGTGGTACAACACCTGTAGTCCTAGTTACCCAGGAGGCTCAGGTGGGAGGATCCTTGAGCCCAGGTGTCCAAGGCTTGCAAGGGCAACACAGTGAGATCCCACATGCACACTGTAACCCAGGCAGATCCTGAACTTCTGAATCTCTTACTTCAAAGCAGCTAGGTCATGGGCCTGCATCACTACCAGGCCACCGAGATTTAGTATCCAAAGAAAAAGAAAAAAGTTATACTGGAAGCAAAAAGGGTAGCCAAAAAAGAGTGTAGAAAACCATCACTTATTCAATACAGTTTCATTTGTCCTAGGCTGGCCTCAAACTTGCTGTATAATCTAGAGTGACCTTGAGTTTTTAAAAAGATCCTCCTGCCTGCACAATCCCCCAAACGCTAGGATTACACGTGTGCCATCTAATTCCTGTTTTGTGCAGTGCTAGGGATCAAACACACGACTTCATATTTGCTAAGCAAGTACTTATTCTATTACAACTCTCAACCCTCCCAAACTAATGTTTGAGTCAAGTAGATTTATTTGTTTGTGTTTTTTTTTTCCAGACAGGGTTTTTCTGTGTAGCCCTGGCTGTCCTAGAACTCAGAAATCTATCTGTCTCTGCCTCCTGAGTGCTGTGACTAAAGGCATGAGCCACAACTGCCCAGCAAATCATGTAGATTAACTACTCAAAAGATGTAAATATGATTTTCAAAACAAAACAAACAAACAAACAAACAAAAAACCCCACATAACCTTTTTTTAAAGCCAAAGATAAAGTCCAGAAAATGTAACCTTGGCTGTCCTGGAATTTACCCTGAAGACCAGGTCTGCCTCTGCTGACCAAGGCATGTGCTACCACCGCTGACTTTTAGTTGTTGCTGTTGTTTTTTGAGATAGGATCTTTCCACCTAATTCTGGCTAGACTGAACTCCACTTGCTTCTGTCTACTTGGATTAAACATGTGCACCACCATGCCCAGTTCAGAGATGTTTTTTCACTGGGACTGGGTAACAGCTGTTCAAAGCAATGGATACTCACAGGCGAAGCTCTTCAAAAGACTTCACTGAGTAGAGAGGGGAGTTTGGGTCCCTCTGCAGGACTTCTACTTGGTTGGTGTTATCCACAAGATTGCTTCTGATGAGCTTGTTGAGTAAAGACTGAGCAGCTCTGTCCTCTGTCAGGAAGAAAGCAGATGTTCTTCATCCACATGAGGCAAGGCCTGCCCTTGAGAAAATACACTCCCTATTTCTGCATCAGACCTTTACAAGCACTCAGTTGGAGAAAAGCCCAATTCCACTCCCTTTCATTTTTGATTTATTACAGAGATTGTCTCACATGAACTCACAGTTCTGGGAGTCCTGCCCTTGCAATGAATAAGCTATTTTTTGTTTTGTTTTAAACCTCATTTGCCTTAGCTTCCCAAATAGCTTAGACTGAAAGCATGATGCTTCTAAATGACCTTATCACCTACAGTGACACCCTTTTGTTTTCTGTTTCTCCAGTGTTGGGGATAGAACTCAGAGTCTAGCATACATGTCCAGCCTGACACACTCCCTTTTTGCTTCTTGTATGTGTATGTAATGTATGTGTTGCTATGAGCACAAAGATGTGCACAAGTGTACACATCATGCATCTTCCTCAAATGCTTCGTCACCTTATTTTTTGAGATGGGGTCCTTCAATGAGCCTGCAGTTTATTAATTTTTTTAGACTGGCTGGGCAGAAAGCTCAGGATCCCCGTTGTCATTCCATCCACTCCTCCATCCACCACCAGAGCTATGCTTACAGATGAATTACTACTGCTCATGGTTTTCTTGTGGTACAAACTGGGGGTATAAACCCAGGCCACCACTTCATGGGGGGCAGGCCACTGTTGAAGACATTTTCTTTGGCTTCAAGTTCAGCGCACTTTTGTGGAATATTAGTTGAAAATGAATTACATTTGTTTATACTGTGGAATAATTCATTTAATGATGCAAATGCATTGCATTCTTTTATATTGCATTTGTTTAACTCAGTGAAGCTGTGTTAGTTTGCCTGTCTAAAATACTTGATTGGTCTAATAAAGAACTGAATGGCCAATAGCTAGGCAGGACAGGGATAGGCAGGGCTGCCAAGCAGAGAGAATAAATAGAAGGAGAAAAAGAAAACAGGGAGGAGGTAGTAAAGGAGGAGAGGAGGATGCCAGGGGCTGCCACCCAGCCACACGATGGAATATATAGGAGAGGTATACAAAACTAGAGAAAGGTAAAAGCCCAGAGGCAAAAGGTAGACCGGATAATTTAAGAGCTGGCCAGAAATAAGCCAAGCTAAGGCTTGGCATTCCTAAGAAATAAGTTTCCATGTGATTATTTTGGAGGTGGGTTAAAAACTACACGCTCTTTTGATGTCCCCATCACTTCCCTGTCTTATAACTCAGTGTTTCTAGCTTCAGGTAGGTAAGCCTTGGTTATACCAAGTCTCTCACAAGAGTACCTCAAAGAATGGTTACCTTTCTCTTCTTCCTCAGTCTTCTCCGCAGTGGTACTGGTTTTGATGACACCTACACAAGAAAACAGTCGTCACCAGGAAGACAAACACAACCCACGTATAGGTTGGGACAATGGAAACACTAACCCTAAAGTGAACAAACGTAAAGAACTGGCATTTTTAAATGCTTAGTGGATTCTGTGTTTACAAAGCATGTAAGAGCTTAAGAAAAAACTTAAATTTGAACACAGAATCACAAAAATATTGGTTTCTGGGCTGGAGAGATGGCTCAGAGGTTAAGAGCACTGACTGCTCTTCCAGAGGTCTTGAGTTCAATTCCCAGCAACCACATGGTGGCTGACAACCATCTACAATTCAATCTGGTGTATATGTAATTAATAAATAAAAAAATCTTAAAAAAAATATTGGTTTCTGACTTAGTTATCCTAAAAAAAAAAAAAGCATAGCATTACATAGCAAATTCTATTTCCTATTTTTTACCTATAAGACTAGAAAAAACTCGGCCGGGAGTTGGTGACACACGCCTTTAATCCCAGCACTTGGGAGGCAGAGGCAGGTGGATCTCTGTGAGTTCGAGGCCAGCCTGGTCTACAGAGCTAGTTCCAGGACAGTCTCCAAAACAATACAGAGAAACCCTGTCTCGAAAAACCAAAAAAAAAAAAAAAAGACTAGAAAAACTCAAAAGTCTGACTAAACATTTTGTGATTAAACTATAAGGTAACAGATACTTTCAGGCTCTGTTGACAGAAATATAAAATTGTAGAATACTGCCTTACATGATGGTGAATGTCTGTAATCCCAGGACTGGGGAAGCAGAAGCAAGTTCACTCATGAATTTGAAGCTAGCCTGGTCTATATATAAATTCTATATCAGTCAAGGCTATATATTGAGACCCAAACCACTAAAAATAAAACAATTTTAGAGAGGGAATTTTATGCCTTGTTTTTGAGACAGGGTCTCATGTAGTCCAGGCTGGCCTAGAGTTTGTTATGTAGCAGGGAATGAAAATGATACTGAATGTGTGATCCTCTCGCTTCTATTTCCAAATACTTAGATTATAAAGATGCAGCAGCATTCCTGATTTATATGATAGTAAGGATTGGACCCATGTTCCTGGACACTATCTAGCAGCCTACCCCTACTTGGAAAAATATTTTTAAGCCAGGTGGTGGTGGCCCTCGCCTTTAATGTCAGCAGTTGAGAAGCAGAGGCAAACAGATATCTGTGAATTCAAGGCCAGCCTGGTCTACAAAACAAGCCTGTGATACAGAGAAATCCTAACACACACAAACACACAGTGAATGATTGGGTAAAAGTATTTGCTGACACACACACACACACACACAAAAGTATTTGCTGACACACACACACACACACACACACACACACACACACACACACAGTGAATGATTGGGTAAAGGTATTTGCTGCCAAACATGATGACCTGAGTTCAATCTCCAGGTCAGACTCGGCAGACAAAAACAACTTCTTTAATTGTCCTGACTTTCTTTTTTCATCCCCCCCCCCCCGCTTTTTTTTAAGACAGGGTTTCTCTGAAGCATTGGAGCCTGTCTTGGAACTCCCTCTGTAGACCAGGCTGGCCTTGAACTCACAGAGACCTGCCTGCCTATGCCTCCTGCCTCCTGATTGCTGGTGTGTGCCACCATTGCCTGGCTATAAAAATTTATTACAGACTTATTTTTGCTGTAATTATATAATGTCTAAGCACATGAGTGCAGATGTTCTCAGAGGCTAGGAAAGGAAGTATTTATAGGACACTGTGAGTTATCTGATGTGGGTGCTGAGAACAGAAATGAGTTTCTGCAAGAGCAATGAGAACTCTTAACTACTGAGCTATCTTTCCAGCACACCACAATTTTTTCTCAAAGTCTTATACTCTTGACCTAGCAAATCCATTCAGAGTAATTAGTGTAGAAACACATTTCACAACATGAAGTATTGAAGCTCATAGTTATTCTAAGACATACTGTTTATAATAATACCAAATTGAGACAAACCCTAGATAACTGATTAATGACATATCAACATAATGCAATGCTGGTCAATATGGAGAGCATGCAAAGGAATATTGTGGCATGAAAAAAAAATACAGTATACTGTGCATTGTCTTGTCATCTCTCAGAGGTAGGGAGTGATAGGGAGAGAGGAACCAGAGAACAGAGACAATGAAAATATGAATCCCTATAAACCTAAACAGTAAGCAAAACGAAACTAAAATGTCACTAACAGTAGTTACTTATGTGTCACAAATTTAACTCAGAATTCCTAAAATTTATTTATCCTGTCCTAACCCCCAGTACCTCAGAAAGGCACCTTATCTGAAAATGGAGTTAAGTGTGCCCAACTCCAATATTACTGGACCCATATAAAAAGGGAAATCTAAGACTGAGGAGTAACAGAGCACTTGCCTTGAATGTCTAAGACTCTGTGTTTGATCCCCAGCATTTCCAATCACCCAGTCAATCAGTTAATCAACAAAGAAAGAATGCTATGTAGAAGAATACCATGTGAGATCTGGGTAAAATCATTAAAACCCAACGAACAGCAAAAACTGCCAGCCAAGGCTTAGAATAAGGTCTTTTTACAAGCTCTCAAAAACAACAAACCTTGCTGACACCTTGATCTTAGAATTCTTATCTCCTGAGCTTTCAGACAATAAGCTACTATGGGTTGGTTTTTGGGTTTTTGTTTTGTTTTGTTGTTTGGAGAAAGGGTCTTACTCTGTAGCTCTGGCTGGCCTCTAACTCAGAAATCCACCCACCTCTGCCTCTTCTGGCTTACAGCAACACATTTGGGAGCTATTGTGGTTTTAACTACCCACCTTTGAGGTGGTTTGTTAGAGGTACCCCAGCAAATGAACACAGGTAGTCACAGAACAGTAGACACTGGGGCAGTGTGGAAAAAGGAGGCCTTGTGCCTTTTCATACTTTCTTTTTTATTTGTTTCTGAGACAAAGTTTTGCTATGTAGCCCTGGGGAGGGGTAGGGGGATGGTCTAAAAAACTTCAATAATCCTCCGGATCACTGGCATCACAAATGGAAGCCACCACGGCTGGCTTTAATCTAGTCCCGTTTCAAAAGATTTAAACATTAAGTAAATATGAGAGCAATCCAATAGTGACTTGTGTGTGTGCTTTGGGGTTTTTTTTCCCCCCAAGACAGGGTTTTTCTGTTAGTCCTGGCTATCTTGGAACTTACTCTGGCCTCGAACTCAGAGATTCCCCTGCCTCTGCTTCCCAAATGCTGGGATTAAAGGTATACACCAATACCACCTGGCTGTGACTTTTGTTTTTAAGGCTCCATTGTGGTGCTGACATCTGTTGAATGACTCTAGGACAGTTCACTGCTCACTGCACATGTGAGCGGTGGCACAAGCACAGGTGTAACTCTGGTACCTAGTCTGTAGTTACCCATGACTCACCATTGGTGTCTGCTTTGACTTTTTCTTCTTTGATCTGCAAACTGCTCATCTGAGTAAGAATAAAAGGAAACAGTAAGCAAAAGATCTGACCAAGGAAGGCAGTGGGGATGCATGGTGAAAGGTTAACAGAAACTACTGCAGAGCTGGTTGGGGGAACTAGTTTGTTCTACCCAACACAGAAGTGCTAAAAGCCTGGGCAAAAGCACCTCATGTTTCCTCAACAGCATAAAAAGAGGAGGTAGGCATGGGTTAAATGTAATGGTATAAGGAAAAGTGGGGGAGCTTGAAATTTACACTCTCTAGAACATCTCCAAGTTTTTGTTTGCCTAGGTTTGGATGATGATAGGGTAAACCCAGGACACAGGACTCGTGGCCTTTATTTATATTTTTTTTTGTTTAAGATTTATTTATTGTGTATACAGTATTCTGCCTGCTGTATGCCTGCAGATCAAAAGCACACTAGGACCATGTGCGTGCTGGGAGTTGGAACTCAGGGCCTCTAGAAGAGAGCAGTCAGTGCTCTTAATCAATGAGCCATCTCTCCAGCCCCCAGTACTTGTGTCCTTAATGGCAGATGTGCTACCAGAAAGCCATGCCCCAACTTCTTTAACCCTATCAACAGCAAATCAATCAAAGTCCTCTATCCTATCAACCACCTGCATGGTAGGTTACTCTAAAATGCGTTACAATAAACTGGGTGTGGTGAAACAGCACTTGGGGATGGAGGCAGGAAGAATGAAGCTGAAGGTCGTGAGTTAGAAGCCAGTTTGTGCCGCATGAGACTTTGCCTTTAAAAAAACAAAACAACAAAACTATTACAATGAAAATTCTAGAACTTCAATAAAAGTTGTTTTTTTAAATTAACTGTTGGCTACATGGTCTTTATCAACAGAAACTGGATTGTTAATTTATAACAGAAAATACACTCAGAGCAGAAATTAATAAATTTGCAATCAAGTCTCCACTTTCACAAACTTTAAAATTTATTTCGCCTGCATGTCTGTCTGTGTGAGGGTGTCAGAAGCCCTGGAAGTAGAATTACAGACAGGAGTGAGCTGTCATGTAGATATTGGGAATTGTACTGGGTTCTCTGGAAGAGCAGTCAGCGCTTTTAACCACTAAGTCATCATTCCAGTCCCTCACAAACATTTCTTATGACCTAAAAACTGCTAAGAGTGATTTGAAGATGGTAAAGATGGTAATCTTGACTGTCAACTCGACAGTCCTTAGAATCAATAAAAGACAACCCTCTGAGGAGTTTACCTGAGGGAGGAAGACCACCACTACACCAAATCTGGGCAGCACTACTCCCTGCATTAGGGTCCTGGACTGAATGAGAAGGTGAGTGAAGCATCAATCATCATCATCACCACATCATCATCATCAATCTCTCTCTTAAGGACCACTGTGACTCCCAGCACCATGCCTTCCACCATAATGAACCATGTGTCCGTCCTTCTTAAACCATGAGCCAAAATAAACTTTTAAGTTGTTCTTGTCATGTATTTTGCCACAGCAAAGATCAAAGCAACTAATACACTGGTATTTAAGATATGTTCCCAGGGCCCTAGGTCTGCCCCCAGGTCCCTTAATGTCAAGAGTTGTTGGTTTTTTGAGACAGGGTCTCTCTACATAGCATTGGCTGTCCTGGGACACACTATGTATACCAGTCTGTCCTTGAACTCACAGAGACCCATCTGTTTCGGCCTCCTAAGTACTAAGATTAAAAGCGGGAGCCAATACACCTACCATGAACTGTTATCCTTCCTGGAATATTGCTCTCAGAATTACTATACTCTGCTAAATGATAATGTCTTTTCCAAGTTGCCCTCTCCAACTGACACTACTAGGCCTTTGAGAAAAGGAGATCTACTCACACATGCATAACTTACCTTTCTATGGCTGTGATTTAAAAAAACATAATCAGGACAATTTACAGAAGAGTTGACTTGGGCTTGTGGTTCTAAGAGTTATTCTAGGGTAAGAGTCCACTATGGCAGATCAGAGGCATGGTGACTGCAGCTAGAAGCTGAGGGCTTTCATGTTGAACTGCTTTTGAAATAGGGCTTTTATTTTCCCCACAAGGCTTGTCTCCAGTGGCCAGCCAATCAAATGCCGCACACAACCTCTAATGATTAATATTGCCTCTGTGGACAGGAAATGTACACAGGTCTACGTGGCGAAAGGTGTATGTGTGTTGGGGTGGTGGTGGTGAAGCATTATCTCAAGGGGCATCAGGTGTATGTGTGTTGGGGTGGTGGTGGTGAAGCATTATCTCAAGGGGCATCAGGTGTATGTGTGTTGGGGTGGTGGTGGTGAAGCATTATCTCAAGGGGCATCAGGTGTATGTGTGTTGGGGTGGTGGTGGTGAAGCATTATCTCAAGGGGCATCAGGTGTATGTGTGTTGGGGTGGTGGTGGTGAAGCATTATCTCAAGGGGCATCAGGTGTATGTGTGTTGGGGTGGTGGTGGTGAAGCATTATCTCAAGGGGCATCAGGTGTATGTGTGTTGGGGTGGTGGTGGTGAAGCATTATCTCAAGGGGCATCAGCCTTCTAATCAACAAGCATAATGGCTCGGTAAAATATCAAGGATGTCTATCTAGGTGATACCGGTGATCTTCATATTATGAGATTAGGTACATATTTTTTACCCTTGCAGTGCAGGGTGTCCACCTGGGCCTTGTTCAGGCTAGGCAAGTGTAACTTACAAAACTTAAGTCCCCAGCTTTGGATAGTACACTTTAAAAAATGAGAAAGGTAGGTATGGTGGTACCCTCCTGCAATTCCAGTTAGGACAGGAGGATTAGTGGAGTCCAAGGGTTTGAGGCCAGACTGAGATCTCCTTCTCAAACACACATAATTAAATTGAAAACAATTCCCAATCACTCTTTTAAGGATAATCTCATATTAAACATTAGATTTGAATCTTCAGATGGAGCTCATAAAATAGTTCAGTGGGTAATTGCATGTCATCAAGTCTGGTGAACTGAATCCATCCCTGGGACCACGCTGTAGGATGAGAACCTAGCCTCACAAGTTGTCTTCTGACCTCCACACACACCATGATGCATGCATGCTCAAAACGCATACATACACAAAATACAATTAATGGTTAAAGAAATAAATACTGGAGCTACAGTGAAGGTTCCGTGGTTAAGAGAGCTTGCTGCTCTTGCAGGAGTTTAGGGTTTGGTTCCCAGCATCCACAGTAAGGCTCATGTTGGTTTCTACCTCCATTTCCCTCTTCTAACATATGTAGGCACAAAAGGAGTGCACAGATAAACACAAAACAAACAGAAGCAGATATTAAAGAAAGTATTTGAGCCACCCGAGCTAAACAGTGATCTGCAGGCCATCCGGTCTGTCTCAAAAACAAAACAAAGGCAGCAAGCCTGTAATTCCAGCAATTAAGAGGAGGTAGAAAGACATCAGGAGTACTTAAGGACAGCCTCAGCTACCCAGCAAGTCAGAAGCCAACCCGGACTAAAGGAAACCCTGTCTCGAACACACCAACACACCACCACCACCACCACACACGTCTAAGAAATGAAACTAAATGTCACTAAAAAAAATTTTTTTTTTTTTTTTTGGTTTTTCGAGACAGGGTTTCTCTGTGGCTTTGGAGGCTGTCCTGGAACTAGCTCTTGTAGACCAGGCTGGCCTCGAACTCACAGAGATCCGCCTGCCTCTGCCTCCCGAGTGCTGGGATTAAAGGCGTGCGCCACCAACGCCCGGCGTAATGTCACTAAAATATTAACTAAAGAGTTTGTATTTGTAGCTATGCGAAGCATTAAAGCAAAGCAAAAAAAAAAAAGTTATTCCGGAGAGCTACAAACTGCCAAACACATTACACACATGTAAGAAATTGGGTGAAAAGTAGCATAAATGCACCCCAAAACTTTCCCTTAACAATGGAAAAGAGAACTTTATGTTGCCATTTGTTATAAAAGGACAAGAGAAGGAGCCAGTTTGGGGCCTCGCACACATAGTGAGGACAGAGTCACCACGGGAAAACTTTTCAGTTCAAATTCGGATACGAAGCTCGCTGCGGATTTTCTTCACTCTAGAAGCAAATCAGCACTAAGTGATTGCCCGCAGCAAACTCCTGCGGCGCGCGGGCCGACCCGACTCGGAGGTCCCGGTGCTGGAAACAGCGTCCGCCTGAGTCCCCCATCCCCGCCAGGCCACTGACCGACTTGACAGCGGCTTCCTGTTCGTCCACCGCCAACGCCCAGGAGTCGGTGGCCATGGTCCCCGAGGCAAGCGGGATCTGCAGAGGCTCCACACCCCGCCAACACCAGCGTGAAGTCCCAACCAGCGCCAAGCGCCACTCACGCGGAGCGGAAGGAGACGTGCGCGGGGCTGACGTCAGTTCCTGTCCCGCTTGGTCGTCATCCACTCGCGCCCCCCTCTCAGGACAGAAAGCATGCTGTGTTTTAAGAACCTATTTCGTTAGGTGTGGTCTGATTGTGAGTTGTGCCCAAGAGCGCTGCAAAGAGTAACTTTTAGTACTCACTGTATCTCTTCATTTCATAGTAAAATAGTTTTAAGTACGGTTTTGAAACTCTGTGGTTTTGAAACAAGGTTTCTTGCAGTTAGCTGCCTTAAACTGTTTTCTCCTTCACTTGTCAAATGCCGAGATAACAAGGGATCCGACGCCTTTTACTAGCCTTTTCGGTCGCAGACATATACATGCATACACATAATGAAAAATAAAATGAGCCGAGCGGTGATGACACAGGCCTTTAATTACACAGGCAGGTGGATCTCTGAATTCGAGGCCAGCCTGGTTTACAGAGCAAGTTCCAGGACAGCCTCCAAAACAATACAGAGAAACCCTGTCTCAAAAAAACAAACAAAAAGACCCCATCTCAAAAACAAAACAAAACTGTATAAAGGGCTGGAGGTGTGGCTTCATCACTACAGAGCGCTTGTCCAGCATAAGGGATGCTTGGGTTTTGATTCCCAGCACTAAGATTAACAATGAAAAAATGATTGTGAAGTATTTTTTGAGGATATGTAAAACTTTCGAAGACATTAATATGGCACATTTTGCAATCCCTGGTGTTGCTTGCTATCTCAGAATTTAGTAGTAAAGATGTACCTCCTTACCCTTACTGTACTGGAGTACAAGGGAAGACATATATAAAGAAGCAGATCCCAAAGGGCAGGAGCAAATATGAAGTAATGTTAAGAGGGGTCTGGTACCAGAAAGTCTAGGCTTATTATGAATTTGTCTCTTCCTAACGGAGTGTTGTAGGCCCATTCACCCATTTGTTGTGAAAACTCAATGAATTAATTGGCTTTGGAAGACTGCTTGACATTATGTCAATAAGGGAAGTACAGGGCATTATGGGAGATTAAGACAGAAATGGAGCATAAGATTTTACCACTGAAATAGGAAGAAGAGATCCAGTGCAAAGTGGAATTTAAGATTCATGGGACTGCCAGGCCGTGGTGGTTCATGGCTTTAATCCCCAGCACTTGGGAGGCAGAGGCAGGCAGATCTCTGTGAGTTTGAGGCCAACCTGGCCTACAGTGTTAGTTCCAGGACAACCAGAACTGTTACACAGAGAAACTCTGTCTCAAAAAAACAAAAACAAATTTAAAAGGGGGGAGGAGGGCTGAAGAGACAGCTCAGAGATTGAAAGCACTAATTACTCTTCCAGAGAACCTCAGTTCAATTCCCAGCACCCATATGGCAACTCACAACTGTCTAAGATCTGACACCCACACAGACACACACATTCAGGCAAAACATCAATGCACATAAAATAAAAAGTGATTTAAAAATTCATGGAATCGCTGGGCGGTGGTGGCGCATGCCTTTAATCCCAGCACTCGGGAGGCAGAGGCAGGCGGATCTCTGTGAGTTCGAGGCCGGGCTGGACCGATAGCCTCCAAAACAATACAGAGAAACCCTGCCTCGAAAAACCAAAAAAAAAAAAAAAAATTCATGGAATCACAAATTGTTTGGAAAATCTAGGTGGCAGAGAAGACGCAGCCTGCAGGGTCGTCAGTGTGTTGAGCTTTTTTTTTTTTTTTTTTTCTGGGTGAAGGGGGTTTAAAGACAGTTTCTCTGTGTAACAACCTTGGTTGTCCTGGGACACACTTCATAGACCACACTGGCCTTGAACTCAGAGATCCATCTGCCTCTGCTTTCCAAGTGTTGGGATTAAAGGCTTGCACCACCACAACCAGGGAACTCATTTTTTTTATCTCCAGTCAATAGGTACTAAAAATTTTATTTGTAAAATATCAATATTAATCGGAAATTGGTAGCACACACCTTTAATCCCAGCACTCAGGAGGCAGAGGCAGGTGGATCTCTATGAGTTCGAGGCCAGTCTGAAGTGCCAAGACAGGCTCAAAAGCTACACAGAGAAACCCTGTCTCGGGAAAAAAAAAAGACTTTTTGCCTGCACTTATATTTGTGTGTCAGATCCCCTGGAACTAGAGTTACAGTGGTGAGAAGCCATGTGGGTGCTGGGAATTGAGCCTGGGTCCTCTAGAACAGCCAGTGCTCTTAACCATGGGGCTCTCTCTCCAGCCCTGAGATTTTTCTAAGAGAACAGGATTTTCAGGAGGGGACTGACAGTTTGTCCCCTCCCCTTGTATTGTGCTTCCTGACCCTCTGCTGCACTAGAGGGCTCCTATTTCCAAGTCCCCTTTCCTTCCCCCCACATTCACATCAGCTAGAAGCCTGGAGGTGAAATTTTCTACTCACCTTAACTATGGCAATTTCTTCCCATTTTTGTTTTTGCTTCAGCTTGAGCGGGATGACGTGAAGAACTGAGAAATTAGGAAGGAAAGTACACAGGCCCATCACATTAGAACTGGAGCACAGTACGGGCTGCGTGAAACAGGATGCATTTGAATGAAGCAGGCACCTGGACTGGAGAGACCCTCTCAACTTCATTTTGTACTTGAAACAAAAATGAAAAGTGGTTTCTGTCTTCTTTTTAGATCCAGTCTCGCTTTGACCTCACAGTTCTCCTGCCTCACCCCTCTGACTGTTGAGATTACAGGCTTGTGCTACCAAGCATAGCTAAGGCTGTGTACATCTGGTTGGCTTGGAACTATGTAGACCAGGTTGGCCTCAAACTCTTAGAAATCCACCTATGCCTGTCTACTAAAAAACTAGGATTAAAGTCATGCATTGGCACATCTGACAAGCCATTGTTTGGAGACACAGCAATGGACAACTGATCCAAAGGACTTGGTATTTTATTGGCTGAGGAGCAGGAAGCAAGATTTATGTTGAATTCCAGGTTTCTAATTTGAACAATAGGCAACTGTGATGCCATTTTGTGAGGTCAAGTTAGAGGAGGAACTCAGAGCAGGGTTAAAGGTTTGAGTTGGTGGGTTTGCTGGGCTCCAGTATAAGCACAGTGGTTTCTGCTACCCTAGAATTCAACAATCAGGTCTTGGGATAGGGTTTTCTTTTTTCCTTTTTTTTGGGTGGGGGAGCAGGTGTTCCAGCAGATAGAGCCAAAGGATTAAAGAAAGTTACCGGTGGCAAAGAGGAGAAAATGACCAAGAACTAAGGCATGAAGAGATTAATAAAAGCATCAAGGAGCTTAGGACATGGTCAGAAAAAGACCAAAAAGTAGCTAGAATACTCTAGAATAGCTCTAATTCCCGTAGAAGTATCGTTGCATACTGATGAGAAATCAAGTATGAATAGAAAATGTATTCCAGATTAGGCTTGCACAGACTATCAGTGTCCTTTTCAGGAGAACTGTGGGGAGCAGAACTACAGAGGGAGTACTACTGGTGGTCAATGCATTCAATAACCCTCTTGTAACCTTTGGCCAGAAGGCGCAAGTGCTGGAGCTGGTGTAGTACTGTACACTTTTAATGCAGATACTGGAAAAGCAGAGGAAGACTGAGTTTAAGGCCAGCATGATCATGTCTCAACAAGATAGGATATAAAGAGATGGTTCAGTTGTTAAAAGCACATACTGCTCTTTCAAAGGAACGAGGTTTGGGTCCCAGCTCATAATTGCCGGCAAGGAGAGTTCTAGGGATTGGATGCCCTCTGCTGGCTAGGGTTAGGGTTAGAATGCAGACAAACCACCCACACACAGTTATGAAAATATATTTATTTAAAATGGTGAGCAAATCTTAAAACTTAAACTTTGTGTGTGGATATGCACCATTGCCCCACTAATAAGGTCTAAGGGCAACTCCCTCAGGCAGGTTTTCTACCTTTAGAAGCTGGTTTCTGGGATGAACTCACTGAGCCACTAGCCAGATCTTGATAATGTCTATGCATATTTAGCAGCGAATGCTGTCAGATAACAAAATAAACAGAGCACACACACACACACACACACACACACACACACACACACACACACACACACACACACACCAGGCTGATTTGGCCACATAACTGGAGTTGTCCTTTTTTCCCTGCCTGCCTGCCTCACTCCCTCCCTCCCTCTCTCCTTGAGAGAGCATTTCTGTGTAGCTCTGGCTGTCCTGGAACTCACTCTGTAGACCAGGCTGGCTTAGAACTCAGAGATCTGCCTCCTGAGTGCTGAGATTAAAGGACGCACAACCACAGCCTAGCCTGAGTTGTAAAAGGGAGGCTTGCCCTCAGGGATAATTATAGTAACCTAAACTCAGTAGACTGTTCTTAAATTGAGGAATTTTAGAGTTCTGGGAACACACTGATAAGGATATAAGAGAAGAGTAAAGACTGAAAACAAGTGCTGTCTTTTAGGGAAAGCTGTCTTTTACCTTGGCAAAAGCTAGCCACAGTCCCAGGCTAAAAGGGCCCAGAAAGGTCTGCACTCTCACTCATGTCCCTCTTCTGTCCATGAACTATAGCTGAGGCAAAGGGGTGAGTGTCCCATTTGGAAAGCACACATGTCAGGCATCTCTGTCAAGTTTCACCTCACCTTTTATTTTGGTGAGACATGATCTATATATATAGCCTCACAACAGTACTCAAACTTTCAGCCCCTCCAAGTGTTAAGATTACAGATGTACGCCACCATAACCAGCTTGTCCTGTATGCCCCCCCCCGTTCTATTCCAATTCCCCATTTAGTAACTGAAACTACTACACAGAAGCCACCTCCTTGGCCCCTGGATTCTAAAGCCACTGCAGTCTGGAGGCCAAGAAAAGCATGTGCTATCCTCATGTGTCTGTGCCTTCACACTAGGTTTTCAAAGCTGTTCTGGGGAAGCCCTATCTCAGCTAATGGATTAAAAAAAGCAGTGTATGTATTAGTTGGGTTAATCTCATGCCCCAGGGTCCTTTATGGAAGATACATCAACATCTGGTCAACAAAATACACCATGTTTATTCTCAGGCAGAGAAAAAAGTTCATATAAAATTACAAGGGTTTCCCAAGAACCTGGTGTGTCTAATGAGGGAGGGCCAAGAGAAACTTGAAGAGGATCCCTTAAATCTTAATTACCTTGGGTGGTGCAGGTGAAGGAAGCAGTCAGTCTAATTTCATTACATTTGTGATTTAAGAATTTCTGAATGTACTGCTAGTGCTTAATGTTGACTCCTCAGCCTCCAGACCTGCTGCTGGCTACACCTGTTCTTCAGACTTCCCAATCCTGGCTATTCTGTCACAGCAGAATAGTGGACTATGACACAGTCAAAATCTAATTACTGGGTCTTGGTAGTCCTGCCTAGAATCCCAATGCTCAGAATGCTGAGGCAGAATTGCTTTGATTTCCAGGCCAGCCTGTGTTAAATAGTGAGACCCTCACAATCACAACAACAAAAAACATTCTATTCTGTAAACCTTGACTTTTCTCTCCCACACACGGCCAGACTGAACTCTGTCTTCCTAGTATATCTCTTTTAGCCTTGTCAATTGACTTTGGAGTCAAAGTGTACATATTTCTAATTAATTCCTGTCAGCCTGCCGAGTGCTGGGATTATAGATATGCACCACTGTAGTACTTTTTATTCTAGTCTTCTGCTTTCTGTGACGGGGTCTCCTGTACACCAGGCTGATCTCAAATTCTCTTTGTAGCTAAAGATGACCCTGGGCTCCTGATCTTCATATCACTTCCTAAACAATGGGATTACTGGCATGTTTCACCATTCTAAGCTTTAGTCTTAGTATTTCCAGGCTGGATTCCTCTTGTCACAAGACTGCTTTCTCATGTACAAACCCCACTCCTGCTAGTGCTGGGACCGACAGGTGTGACCCATCATCACTCTTGGTCTGTAGCCATACTGCCCTATTTATGCGCCCCCCCCATGACTGAGAGGATGTATCTACAGACTGAATTTATCAGCAATGACTTTTATCTGGCTAGTTAGCCTGAACCCTGTTTTACTGCAGTGGGGTAGGAATTGTGTGTGTGTGTGTGTGTGTGTGTGTGTGTGTGTCCCTCTGGCAAGTAAGCAGAATCCTGGGTCAATGGAGAATTCCAAGAAACTCATGTTAGAACAGTACCAACTGAAATAGACTAACTAGGCAATGATTAGCCTAAGGCAAACATGTGACTTCACTTAATAGCAACAACCATAAGATGCTACTTCCTTCTTATAATCATTAAAGTCTTAGTAACATGAACACTTCATAATTAACATCAGTAAAGACTATGTCTCACCTTTAATCCCAGCACTTGGGAAGCAGAGGCCAAATTCAAAGCCACCTGGTCTATCACAGAGTTAGTTCCAGGATATCCAGGGCTATAGAGAAACACTGTCTCAACAAACAAACAAAAGTCTATGTCTCAACGATTAGATCTTATGAATACAACAAATAAATGATACTCAGAACACCTCAGTCTGGCATGATGGTGCACACCTGTAATTCTAGCACTCAGGAAACTGAGGCAGGAATTTGGAGTTTGAAGAAAAAAAACAAAAAACCAAAAACCAAAAACCAATAAAACCTATTGCTTGTGGATAATGAACATCACAAAAATTTTCATTAGACAAAAACATTTCTTTCCCTGAGCTTCTCTCTTCTTTTCCTGAGCTTCTTTGTTCTAGGGTTCAATTTACCATTTCATAGATACATAACTTTATTGAAATCAGTCACAAAGAATCCCTGGGCCCAAGGATTGGCAAGCTCAATATATTCTTAGACTCCTGACAGCACTAAGCTGGCCCTGGGGGACAGGTGGTGGTAGGAATGAGTGTGGACTGTGAAGGAATATGGCCTACAGTGACATCAGTGACATTCCAGAATCATCCATAATTGTGGGTCTAACCTTTTTAAAAAGTATGTCATCCTTTGAGTCCTCCCAAGAAATTATTTAAACTCAAACTAAATGCATATACTTCACAGACATCATGAACCCAGCCAGTGAATTCTCAGGGATCCAAAACACTAAGAACGGCTGAGCTACACTTCCACCAGAGGCCACCGGAGAATCTGCTGCACAATTTCCCCATCTTCCTCTTCATACTTAGGAAGAGTCTACATACTTCTCTAGGTATAGTCCTTGTTTTTAGTTATTTCAAGTTTGGTTCACAGGATTTTGGGAAAACAAAAAATTTCTCCTCTGCTAAGATAGATCAGAGTTGGCCAGGAGCAAACAAAGAGTTCTACTCAGGCAAACGCCCAGATGATGGAGCTGGCCTTTAGATACAGGAGCACAGAAAATGCCTCTTCCATGGTTGGGAATAACAATTTTTCAGTGTAAAGTCTTAGTCTTACCTAGCATATGTAAGGCTTTGGGTTTGAGTCCCAGCACAACACATACATTAAAAAATCCTAGAAAGAGGAATCACTCTATGTCCAAGTCAAAGAACTGAAGAAGATGCCTTCTAGCTCATTTCATCTCTGCTGTCACTTTGTGGGCACCTACGGCCTAGCCAGGTGTGAGGAATTCTCCATTTCTATTGTTTGCATTTACTAACTCTACTCACAGGTGCCAAGTGAGAAAGGAGCAAATGCTCGGTGATTATTCTTGTCTTGGACAGATAAATGGCTGTGGTCCATCTTGTCCCTCACCACACTCCTTTGTATTCATTCCAGGCACTGTGAACACAGATGATCAGAATCCCTTTAGAATCGAGATGCCCAATGTCTGTAAGCATTACCTAGCTCTGACAGAACTACCTTTTGGAACTGCATGCAAAGCAAGAATTTTTGACAACTGCTGATCATGTCTAGACCTGTTTAGATTGAAGCTGCCCGTCAGAAACTTGAAGCTACAGTATTCACTGAGTATCCGAATCTCAGGTACCCTTTTATTTGGCTGGCACTAGTAAGGGTTAAGGTGATGTTACAGATGTAAAAACGATGGTGCAAGTAACCCATGATACGTTTTGTGTGATGACTTTTCCAGGGTCTTGCAAAGTATGAACCCAGAACCAACTAATAACCAGATATGTACTGCACACAGATTGCTACCTGCTGAAAAGAACAGGTTATGTTTCTGAGGTACAAACCTGAATAGAGAGGCCCCAAAGGCATTTTGGTCCAACATAGTAAATTTCTTCCTGGAATGAGTTAGTCATAGCACACCAAGTCCTAAGCAGCAGCTCACAGACCAACTCCTCACGACATCCTCTTGACACTAGGACTGGCTTACATACCTAACCTACTTGGGGACTCTGCCTCTGTGAGCCCTCATTTCTCCTGCACTATCACTTCCACAGGGCTGGTCTGCATACTCTGAGTCAAAGAACAGCTAAGGTTTCTCATAAGAAATCGGGGCATATGATCTAGACTAGATAATGATGGAGAAATTATGGCCAAAAAAAAAAAAAAAAGACGGAACTTCTAAAAGGTAAATTTCTGTGTATTCATGCCTAATCTTCCAAAGTTGTGTAAACAAATTTTCTACCATCCCCCATCATTTGCCCAAACGTAATTCTGAATGAGGTAGGTAGTCTCTACTCAGGCCTTGGTCTTTGAGGTGCCCATCAAGGCCTTTGCCATGAAAGCACTAGGCTCCCAGGCAGGGACAGTGCTGAGGGTGGCGCCAGTCGCTGGTGAAGCTTCTCAGTTGGCTATTTTCTCGATCTCATCCAAATCATCTGTGTCCAATCTTTCTATCTTCTTATCTGAGGGAAAAACAGATTGGAAGACCACCATGAACTACCATGGAGATGCAACAGAAGTCATCTAGAACAAACATCATGGCAGTCTGGGGAGGTGCTTAGCTGTGGGACAGTGGTGCGTCCTCCGGGCACAAAGCAAGCTTTCTGAGCCTGAGCAGCTGACTACAGGTCCCTGGTCACGCATACTGACATCCCAGGGAAGTTGTCAGGTTCTCCTAGCTCGGTGTCAGGGCGCTGATACTCCAGTCCCCCAGCCCTGAATGTGCAGGTGCTCTCCTGACAACATCCAGGTGGAGCCAGCTGTGCAGGGACAGAGCCCACCTCCGGGATAAAGGAAACCTCCCCTCCCCCACACTCCCCTCTGAAAAGGGTTCCAGGCACAGCTAACTCAGGGACTCACTAAAATGCTCCTGGATTCTGTTGAGGATGCTCATGTTGTGCTTGCTGTCAACCATGTTTACTGCCAGACCCCTCTTGCCAAAGCGGCCAGTGCGTCCAATGCGATGCAGGTAGGTCTCATTGTCTGGGTTCCCGTCCTTGTCCACAGGAAGGTCAAAATTGATGACGACAGACACTTGTTCAACATCAATACCTGCACAAAGGGGTTGCAGGGAGGCAGGCAGGAGACAAAGGGGCCACCGTCACCACAGAAACTACTGGAAACATGGCTTGGGCAGGTCACTGGTCGCTAAAGAGGACACCTACAGGGCTGTAGCCTAGGCAGAAGGACAGAACTCTGGCAGAAGAGAGAAAGCAAGTGTCTGGGAGCCTGAGTGTCTTCCCACCAAGGCAGGACTGCTGGCTTTGGCTTCTTCCAAGTGTTTCTGACTGTCCTCCTACAAAGGAATGTCCCTAAAACCCTCCCACCTCCGTGAGACCACTTTTCTTGCTCACAGGGCCTGGGACCCCAAGCCTGGTGAACGGGACCAGTGTCTGCTCACCACGGGCACACACGTTGGTGGTCACCAGGACCTTCTCTTTGCCTTCCCGGAAGCGCTCAATCACAGCTGCCCTCTGTTCCACCATCATTTCTCCACTCAGCAGAGCCACCTGGTGTCCCTCTTTGGAGAGTTCTGCTGCCAGCCAGCTAGCTGTTTTGCGGGTCTGGAGTGAAAAGAATTGTTTTTATTTATTTTATTTTATTTTATTTTATTTTATTTTTGGTTTTTCGAGACAGGGTTTCTCTGTATTGTTTTGGAGGCTGTCCTGGAACTAGCTCGGTAGACCAGGCTGGCCTCGAACTCACAGAGATCCGCCTGCCTCTGCCTCCCGAGTGCTGGAATTAAAGGCGCACGCCACCAACGTCCGGCTTTATTTTTATTTTTTTTAAATTATTTTATGTACATTGGTGTTTTTCCTGCATGAATGCCTTTATGTGAGTATTGAATCCCCTGGAACAAGAGTTACAGACAGTTGTGAGCTGCCATGTGGGTGCTGGGAATTGAACTCAGGTCCTGTGGAATAGCAGTGAGGGCTCTTAACTACTGAGCCACCTGTCCAGCCCCCATGAATTGTTTTTAATGAAGAGCCATATAAAATAAAAATAAAAATAAAAAAGATACCCACAAAAAGATGGATCGTGACCTATATGATACTTCAGGCTCTGATGAATTCAGTGGGCTGTCCAGGTTTAAACTTTCTCATGTGTAGAAGTTTCAGAACGATGGCAAGATGGTGGGGGCGGGACACGGAACTGGAATAAAATAATCTGGCTGCCAGGCATTGGTGGTGCACGCCTTTAATCCCAGCACTCGGGAGGCAGAGGCAGGCGGATCTCTGTGAGTTCGAGACCAGCCTGGACTACCAAACGAGTTCCAGGACAGCCTCCAAAGCCACAGAGAAACCCTGTCTCGAAAAACCAAAAAAAAAAAAAATCTCTGCCTAGGACTGGAGAGATGTTTCATTCATTAAGAGCACATAATGCTCTTGCAGAGGACCTGAGTTCAGTCCCCAACACCTACATTAAGTGGCTCAAAACCACCTATAACTGCAACTCCAGGGATCTGATGCCTGAAGCCTCTAAGGCACTTGCACACATGAGCACATATACATACCACACATACCACACAGCAGATCACAACAGATTAAAGGAGAAAGAAATGGCTTAAGATGTTTTCTTGCATGGAATTTTGGTCTTATAATTAATTTGGATAAACTAATTAACTGCTGTTACTTTTTCATGTAAGACTATGTTTAGCCAGGCATGGAGGTGCACACTTTTGATCCCAGCACTTGGAAGACAGAGGCAGGTGGATCTCTGTGAGTTTTAAGATAGCCAGGACTACACAGAGAAATCCTGTCTTGAAAAAACAAAGACCAACTATATCTCCATTTCTGAATAGTCCATATACTTAATGTTTAAAAAATTATAAGCATGTCGGGAAAATGACTCAGAGCATAAAAGCGAATGTTGGTACAATCCTGACAACTTGAGATCATATCCAAGCTGATGTAAAAGTCTAATGTACACATTTACAGGCTAGTGAACCTGGAGTATAGACTGTAGCTGCAAACAGGAGAGACCCTGCCTCAAAGACAAGGTAGAAGACTCATACTGTAAAAATCTTCTCTAACCACCTCACAGCGCTATTCACATACATGCACAACACATTATTGATTGATTGATTGATTTGTTGGGTTGCTTTTTCGGGACAAGGTTTCTCTGTGTAGCACTGGATGTCCTGGAACTTACTCTGTAGACCAGGCTGGCCTCTAACTTACAGAGATCTGCCTGTATCAGTCTCCCAGGTGCTGGGATTAAAGTTGTGCACAACCACGGCCCAGATCATTCATTCATTCATTCATTTAATTTATTTATTTATTAGACAAGGCCTCTCATTGCATATCAGTGAGATGGTCTTGAACATCTGCCAGAGACATCTACCTGACTCTGCCTCCTGCTAGGACTTAAAAGTATATGACTGGCCATAGTTTTTATTTTTTTTTAATTTATGTAGTGTTTGATAGGAAGGAAGGGGTGAAGCATGAACATGCTACTGAGCACTTGAGGAGTTCAAATGATAACATTCAGGATTCAGTTGTCACTTCCAACCAGGCGGATCCTGGGAATCAAATCCAGGTGGTGATGCTTGACAACGATCACCTGTACTCATTGGGTCATCTTGGCAGCCTAAGTGGTTTACTTTTTAAATTTTTATTATATTTATGTAGAATGCATGTATGTGTGTACACAGGCAACATGTGGGTTCTGGGAATTAAGCTGGGGTCATTATCCATCATCTATTGAAGTACACTGAAATCCAGGGCTGGAGAGAGAAGGTTCAGTGGTTGAGTATACTTGCTCCTCCTGCAAAGGACCAGTACTCAGTTCCCAGGACCACCTGTAACTCAGCTCCAGGGGGATATAAAGTCTCTCCTGCTTTCTACAGGTACTCACACACATATGTGCATACAGATACATGCACACACATAAGATACATTTTTTAAAATTGTATAAACAGGCATGGTGGTGATGCTTTTCATCCCAGCACTTGCAGAGGCAGAGGCAGAGGCAGAGGGATCTGTGTTCAAGGCCAGCTAGGACAACATAGTGAGACTCTGCCAAAAAATAAAAATTAAAAAAAAAGTTATCAGCCGGGCGGTGGTGGCACACGCCTTTAATCCCAGCACTCGGGAGGCAGAGGCAGGAGGATCTTTGTGCGTTCGAGGCCAGGCTGGACCGATAGCCCCCGAAACAATACAGAGAAACCCTGTCTCGTAAAAACCAAAAAAAAAAAAAAAAAAAAAAAAAAAAAAAGTTATCAGTGGATTTTCTTTCTTCCTTTCTTTTATTTTTTCCTAGACAGACTTTTTCTGTGTATATAACCTTGGCTGTCCTGGAATCAGCTGTGTAGACCAGGCTGGCCATGAACTCTGAGAGATTGCTTGCTTCCTGAGTGCTGGTGTTAAAGGCACGCACCATCACCATCTGGCTTCAGTTTTTTGTTTTTCTGCTTTGTTTTTGTGGTGCTGAGTATCAATTCTAAAATAATGCATGTTAGTCAAATATGCTACAACTGAGCTACATTGTCAGCTCATTATTTGTGATTTGGAGAATTTCCTTTTTTTTTTTTTTTTTTTTTTGATAAGGTTTCTCTGTGTTTAACAGCTCTGGCTGTCCTAGAACTCACTTTGTACACCAGAATGGCCTCAAACTCACAGAGATTCACCTGCCTCTGCCTCCCAAGTGCTGGAACTAAATGCTTGTGCCGCTACTGCCCGGCAGGAGAATTTCTTTTAAAAGGAATCTGTAAATATGCTCAACTAAATCAACAATAAACTCAAAAATCCAAGGAGACTATTGCCCAGGCAGGTGGAGGTGGACTGTCACTTCCCTTCATTGCAATTGTCCTCTTCAGCTGAGCAGTGGAGATTACTGCCTCCCCGAGGTGCCAATGACAATGCTATTCATTGGCCTACAAACAGCAGGGAAGAGCAGTGCATCCCCTGCAGGCCTGCGGCAGCTACTCACATGGCAGAAGATCATGGCTTGGGCGATGGTGATGGCCCCATACAGGTTGCACAGGGCCTGGAACTTCTCCTCTCTGCTATTGCAAAGGACATAATACTGTTTGATGGTGTCCAAAGTCTCCTCCTCACGCTTAAGTTTGATGATGTTGGGGTCTGGGACCACTTTCTGGGCAAACTTCCACACTGAGTCTTCAAAGGTGGCAGAGAAGAGCAGCATCTGGCAGTTTCTGGGCAGCATCCTGCAAGTGGAGGCCCAGGCACTTTGCACGACTCCAATGTTTTGATCAGAAAGAACACAAGCCCAGCCTCTGCAGCCTGGGTGGGCTGCAGCCCCAGCAAGCTGAGTGGCATACAGAGCATCCTGGGGAGGGAGGAGCAGACCCAGTGTGGCACTGGGCTGAATGAGGGTTCCAGGTCTCCCTTCTCAGCACAGGCTGGGAGCATGGTGAGAGCATGTGGAAATGGCCCAGCACGCAAATACTGCTGCACAGACCAGAGCAGAGAACCCAGAGATGCAAGAGGAGGCTTTGGCTCCAGTCCCTACCTCTGGATGCGGATGCTCTGGTCTTGGTGGCCCTGAGTTGCTATCATCACGTCAGCCTCGTCCAGAACAAACACCTTGATCTTCTTGGGGTCAATGAACTTCAGCTTGGAGCACCAGTCCAGGACGGTCCCGGGGGTGCCAATGACAATCTGCTCACTGACCTTCTGACCTCTGTCCACTGTGGAAAAGACATGTTTTCTTCAGGTATTCCAAAGGAAAGCCAGCTCTCCACTCTGAGACACTTTGTAGCTATTTTGTATTTAATACTAATGATTTTCTGTTACTACTTTAAGGAAAGTTTGGATGCCACTATAATATCTAATGGGCACATTTAATCAAATTTAGAATTTATGAAATCATAAAGGTGTAACAAAGCATGATAAAAGAGGAGTTAGGTATGGTAGTGGACTTCTATAATCCTAGTACACAGGAGGCTGAAGCAGAATTGTAGGACTAGACTTTAGCAACTAAAGAACATTTTGACTACAAATGGGCAAGGGTAAAGCAGATATTAGTTTTCTAGGGAACTTTAATTTTCTTGGTTGGAACAAGGGCATTATATTATATAATGTCCACATGAGACGCATACTGAAAGACTTAGGAAGAATGAATTACAATAAGACAATTTACTTTCAAGCGTTCCACAAAAATGTATAAACATATCAATAAAGAAAATTCGGCCGGGCCAGGCAGTGGTGGCGCATGCCTTTAATCCCAGCACTTGGGAGACAGGAGCAGGCGGATCTCTGTGAGTTCAAGACCAGCTTGGTCTACAAGAGCAAGTTCCAGGACAGCCTCCAAAGCCACGGAGAAAAACTGTCTTGAAAAACAAAAAAAAAAAAAAAAAAAAAAAAAAAAAAGAAAATTAGGCAAATGTTAAGTTTCTGAATCTGGGGAGCATACATGTGTTCACTGAACTGTTTTAACTCCTGGGTATGTTTTGAAGTGTCTCAAAATTAAAAGGAGTTATTAGATTTATTTATGATCTAGTCCCACATACTCATACTCACATTTATTGCCTCGAACAGCATAAGCTAACTTCAGTTCAGGGTAAAACTTGCCCATCTGTTCAATCACTTTTCCTGTTTGAAGAGCAAGCTCATAGGTTGGAGAAAGGCAGAGACACTGTAGAGAAGAGAGTGCAGAATAAGAACTCTTGACAAAAGTCTGTTTGGCCCCGGGGGCCTTCATATTAGAAGCTACCCATCCATCTGGGGCCACAGGAAAAATTATATAAAGCAGACGTTTGTCAAAAAAAACAAAAAACAAAAAAGCACTTCTTTTTGCTTTCAGGACAAGGTTTCTCTGTGTAACCTGGCTGTCCTAGAATTTACAGAGATCCGCCTGTCTCTGCCTCCAGAGTGCTGGGATTAAAGGTGTGCACCACCAATGCCCAGCTAGCAGTAGTGCTCTTAACTGCTGAGCCATCTTTCCAACCACAACATTTCACTTTTAAACTGCTGGGTCACAGCTAGAATTATTAGTGATTAGACTATGGCTAGGTAAAGACACTTGAAAATAGAGACTGCCAGCCAGGCATAGCAACAAATATCTTTGATCCCAGCACTCACGAGGCAGAGGCAGGTGGATGCCTTGAGTTTAATGCCAGAGTGTTCTACAAGGACAGCCAACACTAAATAATGAGCTTCACAATGAAAACCAATTTCGAAAAAGGAAGAAAAGGAGCAGCAGTTGGCCACTGAAGCATACACACACACACACACCCTACCCATGAGCAGCTGTGCTAGATACATTTTGTTGTATTTCTACGACAACACCCATAATTTCAGGAGGAAAGATGTGGGCTTAAGAGGGCAGACTTCATCATGCTGAGGAAGCTGTAACTGCAAAAGTATGAAGTATCTGGTCACATTGCCATTGCATTTACAGTCAGGAAGCAGAGAGACAAATGCTAGTGCTTCCTATCCCCCTTATAAAGGGATGACGTCATTCACACTCAATTAAACTCACTTGGAAACACCCTTACTGACTCACCCAGAGGCATGTAGACATCCCAGGTTTTTTTTTTTTTTTTTTTGGTTTTACGAGACAGGGTTTCTCTGTATTGTTTTGGAGGCTGTCGGTCCAGCCTGGCCTCGAACTCACAGAGATCCGCCTGCCTCTTCCTCCCGAGTTCTGGGATTAAAGGCATGCGTCACCACTGCCCGGCATCCCAGGGGATTTTAAATCTCATCACATTGATGAACAAAGTTTGAAATTCCAGTTGAAGATTAGGTTCTTTCTCACTTAGAAAATTCTCAGAACTTTCTCTTCTTTTTCTCCCTCCTTTTTAGGGGCAAGGTCTTGCTACATGGACCAAGCTGATCTCAAGATGACTATAGAGCCCAGGGTATCCTTAAATTCAAACTCAACTTCTCTCTGCCTCTTAAACTCTAAGATTACAGGCATACACTATCATGCCTGGCAGTTGTTAGAACTTTCTAACTTATGAGGATTGTAAAATGAAATTTTTTTTCTACAAGAAAAAGCATCAAGCTTAATAGCAGTCGTCAAGGATTTCTACATTCTATCTGTATTCAATTTGAATTCTGGTTTATATAAAATGGGATCAAGCCAGATGTCGTGTCCCATGTTTATAATCCCAGCACAGGAGAGGCTCCGGAGGGTTGCTGGAAACTCATGGCTAGCCTGAATCATTGTAGTAAGTTTCAGTACAGCTCAAACTAGAGGGAGACCTTAAAAGAGGAGGAGGAGGGAGGCCCTTTCTGAAAAAATGATAAAAGCTTTTTGGTTTGGTTAAGATGAACATATAAAGAACATTTCATAGCTATATAGAATGGAATACTATCCAAAATTTGTAAAATGGATGGACTTAGAATTTATTAAGGGGGGCTGGAGAGATGGCTCAGAGGTTAAGAGCACCAACTGCTCTTCCAGAGGTTCTGAGTTCAATTCCCAGCAACCACATGGTGGCTTACAACCATCCATAATGAGATCTGGTGCCCTCTTCTGGCGTACAGGCATACATGGAGGCAGGATGTTGTATTCATAAAAATAAATAAATCTTTAAAAAAAAAAAAAGAATGTATTTAGGAAGGTCATACAACCTTAAAGGAAAGAAACACACTTTCTCCTTCACTTGGGAATTCTAGCCTATAACATGTATGTAAACAAATATACATGTGGATACAGTATAACCTGTAGAAAGGAGAACAAGAAAGGTAAATATTGGATAAAAGAAGAGAGAATCCAAGTAACAAATTTTAGGCCAGGGCTTCATAATACAGAGACCCTGTCTCAAAAAACAAAACAAAACAAAACAAAAAATATGATAATGAAAGTATTAATGATCTGGGTTTTATTCCCAGCATTCACATTGAGGCTCACAACCCTCTGTAACTCCAATTCCAAGGAATATGCTGCTTTCTTCTGGCTTCTGCAGGAACCAAACACACCTGGTGCACAAACACACTAATAATATAGGCAACATAAAAGTAAAAACAAAAATCCTATGTGGGTGTTGGTGGCACATGCCTTTAAAACCTGCACTTGGGAGGCAGAGGCAGGAGGGTCCAAAGCTACAGAGAAACCTTGTCTTGAGAAAAAAAAAAAAAAAAAAGAAAACTTCAATATAAAGCACCATAGGTTCAGAATGATTCTCTGTGTAGCTCTGGCTGTCCTGGAACTCACTCTGTAGACCCGGCTGGCCTGGAACTCAGAGATCCACCTGAATCTGTCTCCCTAGTGATGGAATTAAAGGTGTGTGCCGCCACCGCCGCCAACACCCCCAGAATGATTTTTCTAATTGTATAAATCCATTAAAATGTAGAATTTGGGTTTGGCTAATAATACTGCATAATTATTTTTATATAAAAGTATTTTCAATGAAGGTTTTGTTTATAATATATATATTTTTTTATTTTTTCAGATTATAATTACATCATTTACCCTCTTCTGTTTCCTCCCTCCAAACTTTGCCTTGTACCTCACCACTGCTTTCTTTCAAATTCATTACCTGGCTGGGCAATGGTGGCACTCGCCTTTAATGCCATCATTCAGGAGGAAGAGGCAAGTGGATCTCTGTGAGTTCAAGGCCAGCGTGGTCTTTGTACAAAGCAAGTTCCAGGACAGCCAGAGCTAAACAGTGAAACCCTGTCTCCAAAAACAAACAAAGCAAAGCAAATTCATTGCCTCTTTTTTCCTAAATATATAAACATAACCTGCTCAGTCTAGTTAGTTACATGTATGTATATGTTTCAGGGCTGACCATTTAGAAAGAGAAGAAAAAAGACAGGGTTTCACTCTAGCCCAAAACAGCCTGAAACTTTTACGTACATGCTACCCTCAAACTCACAGCAACCCTCCTGCCTCTGCCTGCCATGTACTGTGATTACAAGTGCAAATAACCTGACTATCCACACACTGGCTTTTAGTTCAGGAATACTGTTATCACCTTTAGCCTATATGATAGTCAGAAACTCAAATTCTCAAAGTTCTTACCTGGGGATAGCTGTTTGCCGGCTCTACTTGGCTGAGCATGGCCAACACAAAGGCAGCTGTTTTGCCAGTACCAGATTGAGATTGGGCAATTAAGTTCTGTGGGCTGCACAAGGGAAAAAAAGGTTCAGGAGCTCCACCATCAAGTAAGTTTTCAAAGGGCTAGTGAGTTGGCTTAGCAGCTAACTAAAGCAATTTCCAAAACACAGATGGTGGTTCACAACTATCTGTAATTCCAGTTCCAGGGGATATGATACCTTCTTCTGACATTGTCCGGTACCAGAAAAGCAAGCAACACACATACATTCACACAGGCAAAACACACAGATAAGAAAGTTTTAAAAGTTTTTCAAAAACAGAAGTGAACAAAGTTTAAAAATGAGTTTTTGGCCAGGTGGTGGTAGTACACACCTTTAATCCCAGCGCTTGGGAGGCAGAGGCAGGCAGATAGATCTCTGTAAATTCGAGGCCAACCTGGTTTGCAAAGTGAGTTCCAGGACAGCCAGGGCTGTTACACAGAGAAACCCTGTTTCGAAACCCTCCCAAAAAGAAAGAAAATATCGTAATAAAATCCACTATTTTGTCAATTAATAAGCTAACAAAAATACAAATTTGAGAAAAAGAATAGACAAAACTTAAGAAAATAAATGTCAAGACCAGAGAAGTGTCTTCTCATCACGGTAGAAATAAGAAATTCAGGACGCTGGGGATGTGTCTCAGTTGGTAGACTATTCCTCTAGCACGAAGAAAGCCTTAAATTTGACCCCTATCATTGCATAAACGTGGTATGGTGGTCCATGCCTATAAATCTAGCACTTGGGGGTTTAGAAATTCAAAACCATCAAGTCTGGAGAGAAGGCTCTATATTTACAACTGCTTGCTGTTCTACAAGATGTCAGTTTGGTTCCCAGCAGGTCAATAGTCTAGGGGATGTAGCTACTTCCCTCTTCTGGCCTCTGAAGGTACCTGTACATGTGTTGCATACACTCAAACAGATGCATTACAAAAGAAAAAGTCATCTTCAGCAACATAAGAGAATTTAAGGCCAGCCGGGTCTATACTGAGATTTTTTTTCTCAAAACAACTCTTATTGTCACCAAAATCAACCTCATACCTCACCAAAAACAAGCAAAAAAACATCAAAAAGATTAGTAGACAGATACATGAAAAAATAAAAATGTTGCCGGGCGTTAGTGGCGCATGCCTTTAATCCCAGCACTCGGGAGGCAGAGGCAGGCGGTTCTCTGTGAGTTCGAGGCCAGCCTGGTCTACAAGAGCTAGTTCCAGGACAGCCTCCAAAGCCACAGAGAAACCCTGTCTCAAAAAACCAAAAAATAAATAAATAAATAAATAAATAAATAAATAAATAAATAAAATAAAAATGTTACTGGTATAATCTAGGTTGTAGGTATATGGGCATTTTTCTATAAAATCTGTTCAAATTCACTGAATGTCTTAGGCTTTTCATAACAATATATTGAGAGTAAAAATAACAAAATGGCTCAGTAGGTAAAAGGTGCTTGCTGCAAAGCCTGATGACCTTAGTTTGATTTTCTAGGAACCACATGATGGAAGTCAAGAACTTGACTCCCTGAATTTATGCTCTGATCTCCATGCACATGCGCATGCGCGCACTCTCTCTCTCTCTCTCTCTCTCTCTCTCTCTCTCTCTCTCTCTCTCTCTCTCTCTCTCACACACACACACACACACACACACACACACACACACACACACGTAATAAAATCCTTTTTTAAAAGCCAGACAAAGCCAAAGCAGAGGCAGGTGGATCTCTGTGAGTTCGAGACCAGCCTGGTCTATAAGAGCGAGTTCCAGGACAGCCTCCAAAGCCACAGAGAAACCCTGTCTAGGGGTGGGGAAAAAAAAAGCCAAACAAATAGCTGGTATACATTGTGGGGTTTTTTTTGTTTTGTTTTAAATTGCTGAAGCTGGACTTGAATTCACTTTATAGCTTGAGCAGACCTTCAACCTTTTATCCTCATGCCTCAGCTTCCTAAATATCTGGGATTATTAGTCATGAACCAACAGGCTTAAATTGTTTTAAAAAATACCAAATGACAGATGCTGTAGTTTTATGGAGTTACATACGGTTCAGCAAGCATCAAAGGCAATGCATTCTCTTGTATTTTGGATGGACGGTTGAAACCCATAGCATAGACTCCCTGGAGAAGCTGTGGTTTCCTAGAAAAACCATTAAAGATGAAAGTCACTTAGATTGAGGAACACAGCAAAGTATACAGGAGATTTTTTTCCTCTTTTTCACTTGTACACATAGTATCTAACTGAGAACTGAACACAATGTGGGAATACAACTAAAGCTTTTACAGACTGCCTGAACATTGTATTTAACAGCCTGAAGTACCTAATGCATATTATTACCTCATGTAGGTAAACATATGCTGTATGAAAAATACGTATAGCCAGGACATGATGTCTATATGACTGCAGAAAGCAATGGATACTCACAGGCGAAGCTCTTCAAAAGACTTCACTGAGTAGAGAGGGGAGTTTGGGTCCCTCTGCAGGACTTCTACTTGGTTGGTGTTATCCACAAGATTGCTTCTGATGAGCTTGTTGAGTAAAGACTGAGCAGCTCTGTCCTCTGAAAAAAGAGTAGGGGAGTATTTAAAGTCCATAAATTGAGTTCCAGGACAGCCTCCAAAGCCACAGAGACCCTGTCTCGAAAAACCAAAAAAAAATAAAATAAAATAAAATAAATAAATAAAGTCCATAAATTTGGGGGGCTGAAGAGATGGCTCAGAAGTTAAGAGCATTGGCTGATCTTCCAGAAGTCCTGAGTTCAATTCCCAGTTATAGATGGTGACTCACAACCATCTATAACAAAATCTGGCACCCTTTCTGACATGAAAGTGTATATGCAGGTAGAATACTGTATACATTAGAAATAAATAAATCTTTAAAAAAGTCTGTGAACAGCCTCCAAAGCCACAGAGAAACCTTGTCTCAAAAAACCAAAAAAAAAAAAAAAAAAAAAAAAAAAAAAGGCTGTGAAATTAACAGTCATAGGTATTTAGGGTTAGGGTTAATTTTGATTTTAAAATATAATAAAAAATGGAAAATTTCTCTGAAATATAAACCATTAATTCCTTTACATGCTGATTAAACTGAACTTTATCTTAGCACTGTAATACCTACTCAATGTCAACACAAGTTGGGTCTAACAGTGAAGCCTCATGCTAGCAAGGAAGCAAGCTGGTCCTAAGACCTGCTGGCAAGTAGTCTAGCTGAATTAGAGAACTCCAAGGTCAATGAGAGACCATCTCAAAAAATAAGGTGGAAAGATGATTAATGGTTGCACTAACTTTTAATCCCAGCACTCAGAAAGCAGAAGCAGGTGAATCTCTGTGAGTTCAAAGTCAGCCTGGTCTACAGAGCGAGTGCCAGGATAGGCTCCAAAGCTATACAGAGAAACCCTGTCTCAAAAAACAAAAACAAAAGCAACAACAACAAAAAATTAATCCCAGCACTAAGGAAACAGTGGCAGAGGTAGGCAGGCCTCAGTTCCATATCCATGTGAGCCCCAAGACAGACAGACAAGGCTACAGAAAGATGTGAAGAGTGACTGAAGAAGATACCTGATGTTAATCTCTAGCCTCCATATGCGAGTGCTTGCACGCACACATGCATGCGCATGCACACACCCCCCTCAAACTGGGTGTGGTGGCACATGTCACTAATCCCAGCACTCGGGACAGAGGAAAGAAAATTACCACAAGTTCTAATTCAACTGCATAGAGTTACAGGCCAGCAAGGGCTACATAGCAAGATCTTGTCTGAAAAACTTAATAAATGAATGAATGAATGAATAAATGAAGCCTTGTCATAATTTTTTCTAGAAGATTGAACCTCATTTACATAGCTTAAAGGCTATATTACCTTTCTCTTCTTCATCTGTTTTCTCTGCATTAGCACAGATTTTAACAACAGCACCTTGATCAGATACAAAGTAGATGTTACTCAAAATCTTATCCCATATCTAGCAACCCAGACAATTCTAATTCTAAGGGGAGAAATTATCAAATTTTTACAACAAAACAAGTAAGGAAACCAAGCCACTACTAAAACAAATTTATTCTCTCTAAATAAAGTTTAGAAGGTCTGGAGAGATGGCTCAGTGGTAATGAGCACTGACTGCTCTTCCACAGGACCCCAATTCAATTCCCAGGTCCCACATGGCAGCTCACAGCTTTCTGTAACTCTAGTTCTAGGGAACCTGACACCTATGGCAAAAAACCAATGCACATAAAATATATAAATTAAAAATAAAATTTAGAAACACTGCTTATATAAGATTATTTGCCTTGTACTATTTTAAAAACATGCATAGTTCTGCCACAGCATTGACATTTCTGAAATAGTATAGAATGGTAGCCACAGCACTGATTAGAAAGCATCTTTGTGCGCAAAATACCTGCAAATCATATCGTCAATGTGAACACAATGCCATAAAAATACCATATATGTAAATTACTGACTAATAGAAATATATAGTCAAGTAATATTGTAATTACATAAAAACATACACATGATTGTGTTTTCAAGTGAGATAAATATTAACATTGCTCTGATCTTGGTTGTTTGCTTCTTGTGGTTCTTGAGAACCGAGGGCCTTGTTTGTATATGTAGGCATGCACTTTATATTACGCTTAAAGCCCTACTCCACCTTACATTTTTTAACAGATATAAAGTCAGGTTGACATTTAGAACATGTAAACTGACAAGTTGCTCAAACTTTATGTGCATCCCACTATAAACCAAAGAACAGTTAAAAACAATCATCCCTGTCAACATAGTCCTACAATAAGCAATAAACTGAATAATTTACATGCTAGGTAGGTATTCTCATTCTTATATTAAACATTCTTTAATTATATAACCCAGTTTATTGATACCCAAGTCAAACAAATATCAGTATCCACTACTGTCCTTTGTCTAGTATAAATGCACTAAATTTCCAGGTAGTTGCTATATCAAAATAGAAATACCTAAAAATTCTCTTCAAACTAGCTTTAGTTACTCACCATTGGCATCTGGTTTGATTTTCTCCTCCTTAAGATGCAAGTTGCTCAACTAAATGGAGAATGTGGGGGGGAACGGAAAGTGTCAGGAAAATCACTTAAAGACCGAGTTAACAGAGCCTCCCTAACAACAGTGGAAGAACTATTCTCAAGACCTATTCGCTAGGCGTATTCAGTAGCAATGATTCATTAGCTTGTTCTGCTGGGTTCCTTTTACTTCCAAATGGTTAAAAGAAAATAACACAATTTGCCATAAATACAGCAGTAGGAAAGAAAACAAAGATTATACAGTAGTCCCGAACTCACATTTCCTAATTACAATTTCTACGAAGAATTATAATTTGTAAGCTTGCTTAATGCTTTCTTTTACAGAGACTTTCTCAGTAAGATTTCGTCAGAACTGTCTCCGAAAATTAAAGAAATGCAAAGACTGGGAAAAATGTAGTCTCCCTTTAGATAGCCAAGACCAGGCAGAGCAGCAGTGACCCAATTTAGTTATATGGCTGGGTAGGTCTGAGCCAGACCAGGACAGCTAACACGCAGCCGCACATTCAAGCTGCTTTGTGCTGGGTCTGACATTTTAACTAGCACATCTTGGAGCACTGTGGCAACAGGCACAACCAAAATTACCCAAGACAGGTTCAACTGGGACTAGAAAAGAAGAAATCGATCAGAGAAATGTTCTAAGACAAGAATTACCAGGACTTTGTCAAACAGTATAAATTAGAAATATCCTGGTATGACTTATGTCCAACAATGAAAATGTAAATATCTTAATAGGGGGCTGGAGAGATGGCTCAGCAGTAAAGAGCACTGACTGCTCTCCCAAAGGTCCCGAGTTCAATTCCCAGCAACTATATGGTGGTTCATAACCATCTACAATGAGATCTAATTCCTTCTTCTGGCATGCAGGAGAGCATGTAGGCAGAGCACTCACATATATAAAATAGACAGACAGATAAATGCCTTAATGACAGGGAGTATTTTTTATTTGCATCTAGCACAAAGCAGTAACACTAATCATGAAATATATTAAGTAGATACTCAGTTATCATCTAGCAAAGGGTTTAAAGACTGAGGAATCATTATAATGAAATGGTTATTTCTTAAACCAGTGCCAGGTTCTCTAAGTCCATAAACAAGGAAAAGAGGAAAGTTGAATTGGTAGCTAGATGCAGATGGAGGAACCCCACTGGTCTTCATGGAAACTAAAACTTACAGAACCTGTAGTGTTACAGAACAGTAGGGAGGAACATATGAAAGACAGTAGACAAAGAAGATTAGCAGAAGGAACAAAGGAAATCTTAAAACTAAAAATCCTTCATTCAGCCAGGCAGTAGTGGCAGACGTCTTTAATCCCAGCCCAGCACTCCGGAGGCAGAGGCCCCCAAATTTCTGAGTTCAAGGCCAGCCTGGTCTACAGAGAGAGTTCCAGGACAGCCAGGGATACACAGAGAAACCCAATTTCAAAAAACCAAGGTGGGGGAGGGGCTAGATACTGGGCATGGTTACCCATACCTGTGATCTCAGAACTCAACCAGTGAAAGCAGGAGGCTTAGGAGTTCAAGACCATCCTGGACTACATGGTAAGTTGGAGGCCAGCTCAGGCTCCATGAGACCCTGTGTCTAAAAGGAGGAGGGAAGGACAGGAGGAAGAAGAGAGTACATTCAACAAAAGAGAAAGGAAGAAAGAATGCCTCTGAATGAGATGGATAGCAAATCTGCAGCTTTCCCTTCCCCTCCAAAAATGAGCTGTACTCTAAAAATAGGAGTGGCCTGGTAGTTCAGCTTGAATCAGACTAAAGGTCATGAAAGAAACAGGGGTATTAGAATGCTTGATGTACTTGGACATCTTGATATAAAGACTACTAGCATAGAACTAAGGAGTGCACTGCTAACAAACAAACCACAAAGCAATTAAAAACTCCAAGAAAAACAAGTTTTATCGAGTAGGTAAGGGACTGGCCAAGGAGACTCAGTGGGTAGACATTTGCCACCACACTGAAGACCTGAGTTCACCCCTCAGGACCTATGAGGTACAAGGAAAGAAGCAACTCCTCCAGTTCTCTTCTGTTTCCCACATCCATGCTATGGCAGATCACTCCCCACACACACAGTCAAATACATGTAACTTAAAAAATGGAAAGAGCTAGTCATGATGGCAAATGCCTTTAGTCCCAGCCCTTGGGAGGCAGAGGCAGGTGGATCTCTAAGTTCAAGACCAACCTAGCATATATAATGAGTTCCAGGACAGTCAGGACTATGTAGAGAGACCCAGTCTCAAAAAAAAAAAGTACGTAGGAAATAATAATATAAATAGAATGTCCATTTAATTAAAAGATAACATTTTAATCAAAACTGGAATCTTGGCCTGGTGGCTCATACCTGTAATCCTCAAACTGGGGAAAGTAAGGCAGAAGAACTGTTGAAAGTTAAATTCCAGTTGGGCTACATAGTGACTTAAAGTTTATAATATATGTTAACATACATAAAATTACATGCAAACAATAAAATTGTCTTAATTTTTTAAAAGAACTGCAAAAATAAACCTCCAAGCCCCAAATCATTCAATCAATGAATGAGCCAATCAACTAAATAGATACCCCCCAAAAGAAAACAAACAAACAAACAAACAAACAAACAAACAAATAAATAAATAAATGGGACTGGGAATGTAGCTCAGTTGGTAGAGTGCTTGCCTACCACACAGGAAATTTGAGTTCCATTCTAAGAACTGCATGAACTGTGCATTATAACTATGCATTCCTGTAATCCCAGCACTTGGGAAATGTTAACAAGATCAGTTAATGCAGTCAATACAGAAATCAGTATGGACATAAAAAACCAGACAATAGAACATGATCCACATGATTCGGCTATACCACTCTTGGTGTGCTCAAAGGATGGAAGACAAAGTCAAGATACCACAGAGATACTTACACATATGTACTTATAGCTACAACAGTCAGGAAATGGAACTAGCTTGGATGTCCATTCATAGATGAATGGATAAAACAAATGTGGTATACACAGTGGAATTTTATGGAGCTATAGAGAAAATATATCTGCACAAAATGAATGCGACTGGAAATCATTATGTTAAGCAAAATAAATCAGACCAAGGAAAACAAATACATGTTTTTCCCTCATAATGCAAAATTACATATGTGGGTGTTTGTACACCTATTTATATGTGTATTTATAGGTCACAAAACTAGAAAGGGGATCCCGAGGGAGGTGAGAAATAGGGGATAGCTGAAAGCAGAAACAGGGCTTCAAGGGTGAAGAAAGAGACCCAGTGGAGGGAAGGGCCTGAGGGAGAGTACGGGAAGAGAACAAAGAAAGCATCATGACACATATATATAAAGATGCTACGGCAAAACCTAGTACTTTGTATACTAACTTAAAAATTCACCAAAAATATTTCTCGCCAGGCAGTGGTAGCATGCACCTTTAATCCCAGCACTCAGAAGGAAGAGACAGGTGGATCTCTGTGAGTTCCAAGCCAGTATGGTTTATAGAGCAAGTTCCAGGACAGCCAAAGGCCTATAATCCTAGCACTCAGGACATAAGAGACAGAGGATCAGGAGTTCCAGTCCTATCTATCTATCTATCTATCTATCTATCTATCTATCTATCTATCTATCTATCTATCTATCTCAAGGTCCTGTCTCATAAAAATACCCTCCTCAGTGAACAAAGCCCAAAACACCACTTTTCTTTAAACTACATGGATTAATAACTATATATATTATAGTAAAAGTTTTGACCTAAAATAAGCTTTTTTCTTTCAGGTTTGCCTTGAACTCCTCCAAGAGATACGATGAGAGGTGCCACATCATGCCAGCCTGAACCTTTACTATTTAGAAGCTAAACAAAAGAGCCTAGAGACACAGGGAAGGGCCCAGGCCCTGCCCCAAATGATATAACAAGACTTTGAAGATCCCCTCATGGAAGGTCTCACCCTCCTGGGAAGCAGTAAGGTATTGGGATGGGGGCTGGGGGGGGCAGGGGAGGAGTGGAGGGAGAAGGGGGATTGACATGTAAAACAAGCTTGTTTCTAATTTAAATTTTAAAAAAAGGAAAAAGCCGGGCATTGGTGGCGTATGCCTTTAATCCCAACATTTGGGAGGCAGAGGCAGGCGGATCTCTGTGAGTTCGAGGCCAACCTGGTCTACAGAGCGAGTTCCAGGACAGCATCCAAAACAACACAGAGAAACACTGTCTCGAAAAACAAAAACAAAACAAAACAAAAAGTTAAAGTAGACAAATCCTTATTCTTGGAAAATTCACAGACATATGTACTGAGAGTTACATTCAAATCTCTACCAAATTTCAGAATGTGTAGAAATTGATTCTACATAACAGTATTTAACTCAAGTCTTGCTACAATGTATCAGGCTAAGAAAAAAGAGCTAATCAAGAGAGGATTTACTGACAGACAGACCAGTCAATCATCCAGCACTAATAACCAAGTGGAAGGATTTATAGAGGAGTAAGACATGGTCCCTGAGCCCAAGAGACTCATATCTGAAGATACATAAAAATTGCCATCCGAGGTTATGAGTGCAATCGATTATCAACCCTGATACCAGGAAGACAGGCAGGTGGCTGGATCACCCAAATTGAGTTTATACAACGTGGGAGGAGCTGGATAATCAAAGTCAGCTTTGGGGTCAAGTCCCATTCCCGCCAGGCTCCTCCGCCCTGCACTAACCTAAACAGTGTCCTTCTAAAAAACCGAGATCCTGACAGGCACTGGCCCCCTGGTCCTCCAGCGGCTGGTGAAAACTCACCGACTCGGCCGCGGCTTCCTGTTCGTCCACCGCTAGGGCCCAGGAATCCGTGGCCATATTCCCCGCTGCCGGGCCAGTGCTGACAGGCTCGCCCGCTTAGGCTGTGCGGCCGCGGGCTCAGATGGGTCGCAGCGAGGTCCAGCTCCGCCCCGGGGGAATCATTCACCACGGCGCAGACAACCGGAAGCGGCGCACCGCGGTGTCGTCAGAGTCCGCGTCAGCTCTGCGCCCCTATAGTCCAGGGGACCCGGCACCTCTAAGGTAGTCTTCAGGTCCCCGCTCCTCCCACTCTGCCGCAACTGAGGCAGGCACCCAAGATTAAATGCTCTCTCGGACTAAAGGAGGGAAATCACACTCACACCCAGCACGGTGGCATAGAAGAGCTCATATAATTGTTAGTCAGAATGCATAAGCAAGCAAGTAGCTGTTTTAACTTTTCATGTTATTTAAAATGTCTCAACTTACTGGACTTTTAGCTAAGATCAAGATAGTATCTGTTCTTATCAATTTAATAAGATGTCTAAGTATTGGCAATCAGTCCCATGAAACAAAGGGTTAAGTGCTCAAAGATCTGTTCCAAATTGAGCTTTGAAAACACCAAATTCTTGGTAAATTGAAATTTCTTGGTAAAATATCAGATACCAGAAAAAGTCAGTTTGTCCAACCAATCCAATTCAATTCCTGGTGGCAAGAGTCACTTAATAAGGAAATATATGGATTTTGGAATCATCTATGCCTTCTTCGGATGGCCAGCTCTCCTCTCCTATGTAAAGGTTGTGTAGCTAGCATTTTATTTATTTAGTTTTCAATAATTTTTTTTTTTGGTTTTTCGAGACAGGGTTCCTCTGTGGCTTTGGAGGCTGTCCTGGAACTTGCTTGGTAGTCCAGGCTGGTCTCGAACTCACAGAGATCCGCCTGCCTCTGCCTCCCGAGTGCTGGGATTAAAGGCGTACGCCACCAACGCCTGGCTGTTTTCAATAATTTTTAAAAGACTTGCATATTTTATGTGCATGGGTGTTTCACTTGCATTTCTATGTGTATCGTATGTGTATCAGGGGCCCATAAAAGTCAAAGAGGGTATTGTATACCCTAGAAGTGGAGTTATGGATAGCTGTGAACTACAATGTGGGTATTGGGAATTGAACCCAGGTCCTCTGCAAGAGCCGCTAACACTCTTAACCTCTGAGCCATCATTTTTCCAGCCTTAGTTTTGGATAATTTTTAAAAGGAGGAAATAGCTCTAGTTTTTAAAGTACTAAAATAAGGACCAAAATACTTGCTTTCCCCTAAATGGGATCAAACAGGACATTATCCCTGGTTACTTCCCTAGAAGCAATTGGAGCATTTTCCTGGAACTTTATGAGAACATTTTACTAATATTACATGACAAATTAATCTCGAGCAATGTTGAGCAGGTAAGGATGGTGTAGTCAAGGGGAAAACCAAGCACAGTCTGGGAGCTATGACCACATTTCGTAGTCAGAAGAAACCCTGGGGAACATCATCTAGAAAGACATTCAGTTATTTTCTATTTTTCAAGGCTACCGAAGGTTAAAAAAATTCCAAACAAATGAACTTAAACAGTAAATTATGCAAGATGAAATATAAAGCAGTAGGTTCTCCTTGCTCAGCAAAATGAAACAAACTCACATAGATGTGTGTGGAGAATGGAAGTCATCAGAAACACAATGGGGACTATTTATGAGGGGTTTTAATTCACAGTGATCTGCCTGCCTCAGTCTCCAAATGCTGGAATTACAAGCACGAGCCATCACCCCCACCTGAAACTTCATTTTGAATTCTGAAATTATTTTCCATGTGCTCATTTACTTTTGAGACAGAATTCCAGAAAACCAAACCCAAACTAAAAATTGTACATCAAGTCATGGTGGTACAACCTAATCCCAGTATTTGAGATGCTGAGGCAGGAGAATAAGGAGTTGGAGATCAACATGACCATCTTATTTAAAAACAAACAAACAAACAAAAAAAACCTTAGTTTGGTGATACAGCCTTTAATCCCAGCACTCAGGAAGCACAGGTAGGCTGATTTCTATGAGTTCGAGACCAGTCTGGTCCACATAGTTTCAGGCCACCCAGGGTTATAAATAGTGAGACTATCTCAAAAAAAATTGTTTTTACCTCATGTCATGAAGGGAATACCTCAGCTTCTGGGGAATGGGAGGAAAATTAAAGAGGGCATGAATGTGACCTGATGTGCTATGTCCTTTATAAAATTGTGAAAAAAATTTAAAAACAAGTTACACACACACACTACCTAGGCTCCTACCAGTGGGCTTAAGAAATAAAACAATAGCCGGGTGGTGGTGGCGCACATCTTTCATCCCAGCACTCAGGAGGCAGAGGCAGGCGGATCTCTGTGAGTTCCAGGACAGCCTGGTCTTCAAAGAGTTCCAGGACAATCTCCAAAAACTACAGAGAAACCCTGTCTCAAAAAACAAAAAATAAAACATCAGTTGGCTGTGATGGTGCATGACTTTAATTCCAGCAAGCCCTGTGAATACAAGGCCAGCCTGGTATACAGAGCGAATTCCAGGACATCCAAGGCTACAGACACCCTGTCTGGAGAAACCAAAAAAAACATGAAACTGGGGCTGGAGAGATGGCTCAGAGGTTAAGAGCACTGGCTGCTCTTCCAGAGGTCCTGAGTTCAATTCCCAGCAACCACACAATGGCTCACAACCATCCACAATGAGATCTGGTGCTCTCTCTTGGCTTGCAGGGATACACGCAGACAGAACAATGTATATGTAATAAATAAATAAATCTCAAAAAACATGAAACTATTCTCTTGCTTAGTAGGACATGCTAGACCCTGAATGTATTTGAAAACCTCAAATGTTCTTGCATACCTCAAACACAAAATTTCAACTGAAGAACCCTCAAATCCCAACCAGGTGGTTTCCCTTGTAATTCCTGTACTTGGAAGGTAGAAACAGAAAGATCCAGTACAAGGTCATTGTTGGCTATATAATGAGTTTGAGGGTAACCTAGGCTAGTGTGATGTTTCAGGATCTCAACAAAGGAAAGAATAAAAACACCCTCACAACGGGCACAGCTATCCTGAATTAAATTTTGTGTTAGCTGGATGGTGGTGGCTCACATCTTTAATCCCAGCCAGCACTCAGAAGGCAGAGGCAGGTGGATCTGAGTTCAAGGCCAGCCTGTTCTACAGAGTGAGTTTCAGGGCAGCCAGGAACACACAAAGAAACCCTGCATGAACAGCGACAACAAAATAATAATAAATAAATAAATAAATAAATAAATAAATAAATAAATAACGTGACTCTCAGACTCCACCTGTAATAAAGCTGAGCAATGTGAGACTCTTGAGAAGGGCGTGGAGAAAGACCCCTTATGCACTTTAATTCAGTCTCCTGTATTTAATCCCTTGTAGCGGTTGCCAGTCTGTTTCCTAATTTATGGTAAGCAGACAACTGGGTTCTGAGAGATCCCAGGGACCTCGGGCCTGGTGCTTAGCTGTCTTCTCCCCCTTCTTTCTTGCAGTGGGGAAAGCACCTAAAGGAACACAAGGAGAGCTACCTGCAAAGATACTCACGCCACTTAAGGTCAGGGAAAGTGGATTCCGCCCTTGTGCTCGGGCTCGGGCTCGGGCTCGACCCGGCCAGCAGCTCCGGCCACCACGGCTCAACATGGCGGTTAGGCTTCCTCAACTGCCACTCACAATCTGAGCCAAGCCTAAGCTCCATTGGCTGAGGCTTTGAACTCGGCTCCTCCTAGCCAATCAAAAGAGGGCAGGGAACGGCTCTTGCATGGGCACGTGCACATGAGAACTCTTGCCTCCAAAGACCCATAGAAACCTTGCCCAGAAGGTCTCTTGAAGTCTCAAGTTTGTCATTTGTTGCTGCCTTGATCACTGACTAGAAATCCCTTGACAAAAGTACAGTGTCTATTTTTCAGGAAAGGCGAGTCTGAGCCGGGTCGGTGGTGGCTCACGCTTTTAGTCCCCGCACTCGGGAGGCAGAGACAAGCAGATCTGAGTACGAAGCTATTCTGATCTCTATATTAAGGTCCTACAGAGTATTCAAAACAAAACAAAAAAAGAGAAGGTCTTGCTATGAACTTGTGAACAAAAACTACTGAAAAGAGGCTGTGTGTGCAGATACTGGTCGACTGATTAGATGATATTTCAGTACTGCAGAGAGATTGGACTGTGGCCAGTCCAGGGACTAATTTCTTTATTTTGAGCTGGTCTAGCCCTCTAGAAACAGGCCTTCTTTACCCATCTCTGTGTTGGACCTAAAATCTTGTACCAATAGAAACTATTTGGAATCTGTTAACTTAGCGCTAGCTGACTTCCACCAACCCAAAAGCTAAGGATGCCTTCAGATAACATCTTGGACCTATAGAAAACTTTCCCCACCTTGTTATATTCACCTCTCTGATATATCCACCAATGTATTTTAGATTACCTTGATTTATGACTTCTTTGTTCTGTAAAACTAATGAAACAGTTTCCATGTTGGAATATGTAATTTGGGGTTTTCTCATTTGTGAAAGGGGAATACTAGCAGGCATAATGATACAGTTTAAAAATTAAACTTTGTGTGGGATATTTAGTGTAATGCCTTGTTTATTAATTTTTGTTTGTTCGTGTGTTATTTTGAGACAGGGTCTACTATAGCCTAAAGGTGTTCTTGAACTCCGAGTCCCCCTGCCTCTACCTCTCAAGTGCAGGAATTAGACGTGTGGGTCATCATTAAAGGCTTTCCTCGGAATGGTGGTAGGTTTTCTAAAGCAAATGGAGAGACGGCTGTCCTTTAACTTGTGTTAGGTCATTTCTATCTCTTCACAACCAAGAAACTGGAATAAGAAGGACAATACAAAGCTATGCCTGGTAGCACAGGACTGTAATCCAGCCTTCTCTGGAGGCTGGGACAACCTGGACCACTTATCCAGACCCTGTCTCAAAAAGAGAGAGCTGGAGCTACTGCTAAGCGCTAAAGCACTTTGGGGTGGTTGAAACACTTACTGCAGTCCAAAGTACCGTTAAACGAGAAATTCAAGTTTACTTGCGGTAACAATAAGAACATTTGATTGGTGCACACGTGTATTCCTAGCTCTTGACAGGCAGGGTGGCAGGAAAATACCCTGATTTCGAGGCCAGCCTGGTGTCTGTTTT